CCTGGCGAGTCTATAGCAACTTGAATCGCAACGATGCAGCGTATTCCTCATCGTCGCGGTGGCCAAGTACGTGCATCATGATTGGCATCGAGGCCAGTGCATCGAGCGCGGGCAGATCGATGTGATTCGTCTGACGGGGTGACATTGAGTCTTCTTGTTCGTTGTTGGTCGTAGCAACAACAAGCAACCAAGGATCCTCGCCAGATGCAATCTTCCCGACTTGCACCCCCATAGCGCTCGCCACTGGAGGTCCATCCATCTGCCGCACACGATTCGCACTTGCTGTTGTTGTCCAATGGTCTCCTACACTCTCCTCGGTCGAAGTCATTTGCCTTGCTAGTAGTGCACATGAAAGGCATGCTGGCGTTCTTGGACGATGCCCGACGTCGTCGCACCCTATGCACCCACCGTTATCACTGTCTGTTGGCGCGTGTGTGGCTGCGAGCGACCTCGCTTCTGCATCAGTGGTCTTTCGTCGCAGTCGCACGAGGAGTAGGAGGAGCAGGACAGATTCACGAGGCATTCCAACACACATGCATATATGGGTAATACTCGAACGAGCACAAGCGAGCCGTCGCGGATGCCCACCGAACGAGTCGAATCGCGTGGGCTGGCGAAATAGGTGCCCGCGACCGCCCCGCCGCTACGGAACCGAGTAGCTATTTGCATTCGACGACGAAGACAACGATCGAAGCAAAGTGGGTGCGACCACGGAAGGGACGGCATCGCTGTACCTTGCTGGCGTCGACGAAACTGACGGCTGCGCCGCGCCGTCGCTTTGCGGCGTACCCGCCGTCACCCAGGTCGGTCTCGGACGTGTGGCGCGCGTCGAGTGGTGGCAGCCGTAGACGTGACCAGCGACCATGGCAGATGGCACGTCCACGTGGCGGAATACGCAACAAAAGCGGCGCCGGATGCGGCATCGCCGTCTCGGCCACTGACGCCCACCGCCGATTACAAGACACAGCTTTGAAGTGTTGCATCGACACGAGCTGGCAGGATTCGGCGCGAAGTTGGCGCTTTTTTCTTTCGAGGACGACGGCGTGGGACGTGAAGCTCAAGCAATTACCCGTTTTGGGTAGTAGCCATAACCAGAGGCGCGCCTAGCACGCGATAAATGTGAAGTTGGGGCGACGTTGCGAGGTTCTTTTATTTGGTGGCGCCACGAGGCGCCGTCGACGACGCATCGTCATCGATAACTTTACTTCTCGCGCGCATTGTGATTGGACGAGGCGCCAACATAGCGTGGGAGGATCCACCGCAAAAGTGGCTGCCTATGTGATCTCAAAGGTTGTCTAGACACGTTCAAGCCTGCAAGAGGCCAGCGTGCGCATCTTGGTGCGACGCCTGGTTCAGGCTGCCGATGCCACATGCTTGAACTCCGAGGCTTTTTGTCCCAGGCCTTTCACATCTAATAATTACGACTGTGGGATGGCGCTCCACTTTCTTGAGCTTCAAGAGTCGCGTTCTCTGCCAAGTTTGTGGCGGCGCCCGTGGCCTCCGTCCGCAGCTGCCATACAAACACAAAGAGAGGCAGAGAGCGCTCAGCTTGAAAGAATCGGCGGGGCGACGCCACTTGGCGCCAGGGACGGCCCACGCTGCGCGTTTTTGAGCCCACACGAGGCCCACTCTCGGTAGCAAGTCCCCCTCGCAGTGTCCTGGCGTTGCGCGTTGCTGGATTTTCGCCGGCGGTGCAAGCTGAAGCAGTAATGCGACGGGTCCGCACGCGCCGAGTTTGGTCTCTTCCGCAGCGCAGGGGCTTCCGATTGCGGTGGGAAGATCGATACGACTAGCGACGCACGCCGCTTGAAGCTAGCCAGGTACAGCACCCACGCCACCGCGCTAGTTCAAGCAGACTTTGGTGCTCGTGGCGCGGATTCCGATCTGATGCACGAAAATGCATATTTTTCCCGACGCCCCGCGGAGCCCCCGAGATGCACGCTGCCAAAGCGTCCTTGTCGACCGTCGCAGAAGCAAGGTACCACGCGCAAGCGTTTTTATGGATCTGCGTTCATAGCTTCCGCATCGCAGGCGCTTGTTTCTGTGCACCGTCGATGTCAATTCGCGGCGCGTCCATACGCCATGTGCGAGTTCCGACCCCACCAGGCAGCGACAACGTCAAAATATGCATTTCAATCCCTGACATCGATACGGACGAGGCGGCCCAGGCTCCGTCACGACCAACCACCGCGTGGCCTAGAAAGGCCATTACAACTTCAAGTATAAAGTCTGCGAGGTTTCGTACGTCACCACGTGCTGCCAGCAAGTTTTGCGAGCGTCAAAGTCGCTCACTTTGCAATTCCTTCCATCATGGAGACACCGATCGAGGACCAGAAGAACGCCAAGCTCATCGTCAACGAGGGCGAGGAGGACATCCCGGCCCACGTGACCGAGAACATCCAGGAGAACCGCCGCGCGATCTGGTGGTCGCTCCTCTTCCTCAACGGCTCGTGCCTCTGGGCGTACTACTCGTGCTTGACGGCGCAGTCGTACTACACGACGCGCTTCGCATCGACGTCGTTCAACTTTGCCTACCTCACGACGCCCGTCACGACGTGGCCCATGTTTGTCGGCCAGCTCATCCAGGTCTTCCTCGGCCTCGACAAGAAGATGGGCATGTGGAACCGCGTCCGCGTCGGCTTTGCCATCTACGCCCTCTGCGCGCTTGCCATTATCCTCCAGAACGCCTTTGACGCCGAGCCCCAGACCGGCGCCGTCATCGTGCTCATCTCCTTTGCCGTCATTGGTTTGACGAACGCCTTGACCGAAGCAGGCTTCTACGCCATGTCGGCGCTCTTTCCGGAAGCCTCGTTCACGAACGCGATCCAGATGGGCAACGGCACGTCGGGTGTCATCAACGTCACGATCAACACGCTCCTCCAGCTCTTCGTCGGCGGCCTTCACCCCAAGCCCGAAGACACGGCCAACGTGCAGAAGATCGCCTTCTACATTTTCTTCAGCGTCTTCATCCCCGTCTGCTTCCTCGCCGTCTACGTCTTCTGGCGCCTCATGCAAATCCCCGCCGTCAAGTACCTCATGGAACGCAACGAAGCCGAGACGATTCGCCGCGCCGCCAACCAGGAAACGTACCCGGAGATGTGGTCGCGCCTCTTCCGCATCGGTGGTGTCGTCATCCTCCCGCTCATGTGCCAGTTCATCATCTTCCTCTGCTCGCTCACGGCCTTCCCGGGTATCTCGATCACGGCCGGTTTCCAGATGGCTGGTGCCGCCAAGGCTGACTGGGGCCTCTGGTACCTCAACGGCGTGCTCCTCTGCTACAACTATGGTGATTTCACCGGTCGTGTCATCTCGCCCTACTTCTACCGCTTCTTCACGCTCAAGTCGTGCTTCCTCTGGACGATTATCCGCTGGGTGCTCTTCATCTTCATCCTCATCGGTCTCCCCGGCGGCGACAAGAACCCGCTCTACGCCATGGGCACGGCCTTCGCCTTTAACCAGTTCTGGCTCCTCTTCATCAACTTTGTGCTCGGTATCACGACCGGTGTCCTCTCGACGATCACGTTCGGTCTTGGCCCGCGCCTTGTGCCCCAGGAAGACCGCGAGTCGGCCGGTGCCCTCATGTGCCTTGGTCTCTTCCTCGGTATCTCGTCGGGTGCCACGATCGGCTGGCAGTTTGGCGAGCACCACTGGCTCGGCGCGTAAGCAACCAATAGTGTGTACAATGTTATGTGTGGTAGACTCAAAACATCCTCCTGGAGGCTTAACCATTTTTACGAATGTCAATCTTTCGGTTGCGATAACTTCAATCTTCACACCCATCTACGTCCATGAGCCCGTAGAAAATATATTTGCTCGAGCGCTATCCTGCCATTTAAGTGGTGCTGACACGCCGCCAAAGTTGTGGCAAGGCTCGAAAGAGGAAGCGATGCGCCTGTCGACATCGTATCTGCGACCAAAACCACCTTACAATTGTACAACCTGACACCGTTAGCACACACCCGATCGAACTTGGGTGCGTCCTGGATGTCACCTTGTCTCGGATGGCGTGGTTACTGCTCTCACACTTTGTGCTATGCCAAGGTCGGACAAAATAGAAGGGAGTCATCACGTCGGTGCAAGGACAATGACGCAGCCCCGTAAGAGCGGCTCGGACGTTGACCATAAACGGTCCCCGCGGTGGATCCGAAGCGTCGCTGCGTTCGGTCCGTCCTCCTTGATCTCGATGGTGTACCGTATTCGGCAAAGCCGACGGTCCACCTTTGAAATACTTGCATGAGCAGATGGCTCGCAGCTCGCAAAAAACAAAGCTTTTCCCGCCAGAACGTTAGGCGGGCGAAAAGGTCTGCGTTTGAAATGCATGCATTTTCCCACATCATTTCAAATATGCTTGGCAAAAATGCATAAAAGAGACTCAATTTCGTCGCGAAGCATTGATCATAGAACAACAGGCAACTTCAACGTCGAAAAGGCTCCACCTCGACACGTTCGTCATTCGACGACTCCACACGTAGATCCCAGGCGCCACGATGGAGACACCCGTGCCGCAGCATAAGAACGCTAAGCTCCTCAGCGTCAACAGCGCCGCTGACGACCACGACGACATTCCCGTGTCCGTGGCCGACAACATCCAGGAGAACCGCCGCTTCATTTGGTGGTCGCTCCTCTTCCTCAACGGGTCGTGTCTCTGGGCGTACTACTCGTGCTTGTCGGCGCAGTCGTACTACGAGTCGCGCTTTGCGTCGACGTCGTTCAATTTTGCGTATTTGACGACGCCCGTCACGACGTGGCCCATGTTTGTGGGCCATCTCGTACAAGTGGCGTTTGGCCTTGACAAGAAGCTCGGCATGTGGAATCGCGTACGTATTGGCTATGCACTCTACGCGATCGCTGCGCTCGTCATCATTCTCCAAAACGTCTTGGACGTGGCGCCGCAGACGGGCGCGACCATCGTGCTTCTCATGTTTGGGCTCATTGGGCTCACCAACTCGCTGACAGAGGCAGGCTTTTACGCGCTCTCGGCGCTCTTTCCCGAAGCATCGTTCACAAACGCGATCCAGATGGGCAACGGCACGTCCGGTCTCATCAACGTGACGCTCAACACACTCATTCAGCTCGTCGTGGGCGGCATCCACCCCGCGGCCAAAGACGCAGCCGACATCCAAAAGATCTCGTTCTACATCTTCTTTAGCGTCTTCATCCTCGTGTGCTTCCTCGCCGTCTACCTCTTTCACAAACTACTCCAGATCCCCTCGGTGCAGTACCTCGTCGAGCGCAACGACAACGAGACGGCCCGACGCGCGGCCAACAAGGAATCGCTGCCAGCGATGTGGGCGCGCCTCCTGCGGATCACGGGCGTCATCATGATCCCGCTCACGTGTCAGTTTCTCATATTTCTGTGCTCACTCACGGCCTTTCCTGGCATTGGCATCACGGCCGGTTTTCAGCTCGCAGCGAAATCCGGCGCCACGTGGGGCACTTGGTACATCAACGGCGTGCTTCTAAGCTACAATTATGGCGACTTTTTCGGCCGGCTCCTCTCGCCGAATTTGTACAAGTACTTTACGATGCAATCGTGCTTTCTCTGGACTATTCTCCGCTGGGGTTTGTTTGTACTGCTCTTGCTCGGGCTCCCCGGCGGCGGCCAAAATCCGCTCTTTGCCATGGCGTCGGCCCACGACTTCAATATTTTTTGGATGCTCTTTATCAACTTTATACTCGGGCTCTCAACAGGTGTCTTGAGTACGATCACGTTCGGCCTTGGCCCGCGCCTCGTACCACAAGACGACCGCGAGTCGGCCGGGGCCATCATGTGCCTCGGGCTCTTCCTCGGCATCTCGTCCGGCGCGACGATCGGCTGGCAGTTTGGCAAGAACCACTGGCTCGGCGCCTAAGAGTTTGCTTGTGAGTTGGTGTAATCAATCTCACCTTTTCGAGAGTGCACAATTCGTATATGGAGCACGCGGTTGAAGACGAACTTGGACGTTGCAGCGGAGTAGTTGATAGTGAGGTTCGTGGGGTTAGGGTGGTGGCGGTGTCGAGTGCTTCAAGACGTGATTCTTCACCGACGATGTCGCAACGCCAGAGGGCTCGAGTGCGATATTTTTCACGGTGCTACGTTGAATATGCTCAAGTGTTGGTTGGCGATTGCATTTGTACAGTATCATCAAAACGAGGACCACCGTCCGATTTGAAAAGCATTTGCGATGCTTACTATGAGTAAGAACCGATAAACATTTACAAAGTTGGGAATCTGTACACAATACACGGTTTCATTATAGAAGCGTCACTAACTCTAGTTGTCCTAGGATTACGCGCCAAGCCAGTGCTGGACGCCAAACTGCCAGCCGACGGTCGCGCCGGACGAGATGCCAAAGAAAAGACCAAGGCAGAGGATCGCGCCGGCCGACTCGCGGTCGTCTTGGGGCACGAGGCGCGAGCCAAGGCCGAGCGAGATCGTGCTCAAAATACCGTTCGTGACACCGACAAGGAGCGTGATAAAAAGCTGCCAAAAGATGTTGAAGTCGTGGGCCGACGCCATCGCAAAGAGCGGGTTCTTGGTCGGGTTGCCCTCGGCGTCGAGACCCGGGAGGCCGATGAGGAGGAGAATGAAGAAGCCCCAGCGCACGAGCGAGTAGAGGAAGCACGACTGGAGCGTAAAGAACTTGTAGAGCTTGTGCGCGACGAGCCGGCCAAAGAAATCACCATAGTTGTAGCTCAGAAGCACGCCGTTGATGTACCACGTGGTCCACGACGCGCCCTTGGCGAGCTGAATGCCGGACGAGATGCCAATGCCGGGGAAGACCGTGAGCGAGCAGAGGAAGACAATGATGATGCAGAGGAGCGGCACAGCCACGGCCGACGTGATGCGGCCGAGGCGCGCCCACATCTCAGGGTACGATTCCTTGTTGGCCGCGCGGCGGGCGGTCTCGGCATCGTTGCGCTCCATAAGGTGGTGCACGGCCGGAATGCGCATCATCTTGTGGAAGACGTACACCGCGATGAAGCAGACGATGATCCAGACGCTGATGAAGATGTAGAACGAGATCTTGGAAATGTCGCGCTTGTCTTCCGGCGCGGGGTTGGTACCGCCGACGATGAGCTGAATGAGCGTGTTGAGCGTCACGTTGATGATGCCGGACGTGCCGTTGCCCATTTGGACGGCGTCGGTGAAGATCGCATCCGGGAAGAGCGCCGAGAGCGCGTAAAAGCCCGACTCGGTCAGCGAGTTCATGAAGCCGACGACCGCAAACGCAATGAGGACAATGATCGCACCGGTGTCCGGCGACGCGCCGAACGCGTCTTGAAAGATGATGGCGAGCGCGCAGAGCACGAGGATCGAGTACCCAATATGGATGCGGTTCTTGAAGCCGAGCTTCTTGTCGAGACCGAGACTCACTTGGGTAAAGTGGCCGACAAACATGGGCCACGTCGTGACAAGCGTCGTCAGATACTCAAACTTGTACTTGGTGTCCTTGAAGCGGTCGTTGTAGTACGTTTGCGCCGACAAGCACGAGTAGTACGCCCAGAGGCACGACCCGTTCAGAAAGAGAAGCGACCACCAAATGAACCGGCGGTTCTCCTGGATGTTGGTCAAGACGTCATCGGGGATCTCGTTGGGCGCCTCGCCGGTCACGAGGAGCTTGGTCGTCTTGTCGAAGACGAGGAGCTTGGTCGTCTTCTGATCGTTGGCGGGCGACTCCATTGCAGTTCTATCTGGCTGTGCCCGAGGTGGCCGATTGCAAAATGACTGCTGTCCCAAGTCGCTCGTTTGCTAGGTCGGACAATCCCGATCCATGCGGTACCCACACGTGGCGTACTTGTTGAAGCTCTCTGGATCTCTGTCACGCGACCTCATTGGCCCTCAACGCTTCAACTTGGAGGTCGCGGCCCGCGGATTCTCAATGTCGGCGCTCTAACTGCATATTTTGTATACTTGACTTTGTATGCCAGGGCACGCGTGGCGCCCCGGTCGCCAAGCGAATAACCTGACAAAAAGGCGTTTAAATCGACGCCAAATTCGCGCCTGCTGAGCTGGCAGGCTGCGCGACGACCGCCCAAGGACACCAAGGGCTCATCGACCCCGCGTGCGGCTACCGTTTGCATAGGGCGCCGTCGACCGCGCCGGCCGCGGACGGCGGAGCCTCATGAAAAATATGCGCCCTGGCCGCCAGCGTCGGTTTGGCACCGGCCGCAGCACGCCAGTGATCTCGGTACCATGTGGCGTTGACCTGCGACAGGTGCCGATACAGCCCCGGTGTGCACCTGTTGTCGTCCATAACATTGGGCCTGTCGCATACACGTGGCATGTGGGCCGGCCACGACAGCAAACACGCGAGACGGGGCCATGACGACCATGGTACAGGACATGTCCCCGACTCGCGGAGGACGCTGCAAGCTGGAGCGACGAGGTTTCTGGACGACCAGCAATGTAGATAGAATCAACAATGGAAGAAGAAGAAGACGAATGAGGATATTACGGCTGGGTGAGGACGTTCGATTCGACGCTCTACACACGTTGTCGGTGAGCGTTCTATTAGTAATGGCCCAGAAAGGACGGTTTGTGTACCTCCATAAAGGCGACGAGCGGCGCCTCTTCGTCCCGCCAGTCCGCCTGGACACTGGCGACGATATCGGTCAACGACACCTTGAGCTCGGCGCGGTATGCGGCCGGGTGGTGGTAGCGCTGCTCGTGCAAGATAAAGTTGGCGACGAGCAAGGACGTGCCGGCTTCAACGACATCGCGAAGAGTCTCCTGCATGCGTTTGGTTGTCTACAGCATCGCAGCATGAGCCCCGGTTCCACTGTTCACGTCTCGTACCAAAGACACGGCCGACGCTTCCTTCAACGCGCATTTCTATCACAACCACACACATCAGAGGTGACGTGGCACCCCGTCGACGCACCACAAGGCGCGCCATGTGCCCCAGTGCGCACGGCGCCGTCGCGTGCGACATCGAAATCGGGAGGAAATCCAAAATCGGGCGGGCGGCTTCCGTGTCGACCACCGGTCGGCCGTGGATCTCCATCAGTGGCGTCGCGCTCGGTGTGAGCTTGAGCAGCAGCACGCACCATAGGTACACCACCTACAGTCCGTTTGTCACCTTGTCTCGACGATCCAGCAGTAGGGTACCTCCCAAAGGTGACGCGTCAGCGTGGCTTGAAACTGTGCGTCCTTGGTCTCATCCGCTGTGACGGCCAAAGACGTCCACGACGCTGGGTCTTGTTTCCAGCCGCTCACGACCACAAGGTGGCGGCGGCCAAGCTCGAGGAGACGGCCGGTGGACATGAGTCCTTGCCACGTTGGAAGGTGCGCGGCGGCAGCCAAGAGCAGCCGCCCGACGCACGCCTGTTCATGCAGCCGGGCCAGCGTCAACGGCGCCTTTTCGTCAAAGGCCGACAAGAGCACGGGCTCGAGGTATGCGAGCACTGAGAGTGTGCTGGTGAGCGCACTGCCGGTGGTTCGCGCCAAAAGGTGCGTGAGCAGCTCAAGGAGGTTGCACCACGTCGTGTGCAACGTGCAGCGATGCGACTCGTCGTCGTAGCCGCGCTGGCGCCGACGCAGCATCGCCGACGTCAGCGGCTGGGCCAGCGTCTTGATGTGCCCGAGCATCTGACAGTCGGTGATAAGCGTGTGGACACTGTAGTTCTGTGTCTCCAACGGGCTCGACATGAGCAAGTGCGAGAGCGTCGTGATGGTATCAGCGAGGACATCGACTTTGGTCGTAATCACGAGCGCCGACACGAGACTCACGAGACACGGGCGCAGCGACGGGCAAAAGAGCGGCGACATCCAATGCACGACGAGTTCCCGGAGCACGAGCAAGTGCAAGCTCACGTCCGTGGCCGTCGCAAGCATCGACAAAAGCGGCGTGACGACCACGGACGGCAGCGTCGTCAGTCGGTCCGGCAAGGACGACATGTGACGCAACACGAGGTAGATGCTCGTCATCACATACTTGCGCGCATCGTCGTCGGTCGGCCCCGCGGACTGCAGCATTGCGAGAAAGCACTTGAGCTACTCCAATGTGAATATGAGAGGTTTGCAACATTGAGGGACGCACCAGTTCGACGCTCGTGGCCACGTCCATCGCTGACGTCGGCAGCTTGGTGCAGTGATGCAACAGCGTCAGCACGAGGCGTGTCGACGTGCTGAGGTACAGCGACCGGTCAGGGTCGTCGACCGCTTCGTGGTGGGCTGTCATCGACGACGCCAGCGTGCACACCCACGCGAGCGCCAGCCCCGACGGAAGCCCCTGGCTGCCGCGCTTGAAAACGACAACCTCCATGGCGGTAGCAAACTGCACCATGGCAAAGAGGCTGCCATAGGTCGCGTCGCACTTGGCGACGGCGAGAGGCAACGACGACGTACCGACATCGTCGGCGTCGGCCACGTGCGTCGAAGTTAACATCGTAAACCACTCGTCCTTCGTGGCGAGCAGCGGGTCGAGCGCCGAGGACGACGACGTCGGGTGCGTCACTTCGAGCGCCACAAGCTGCCAAAAGATTCCAATGGCCCAAAAGTGCGCCGTAGCATCCGGTGCCACCGCGCTGCAAAGGAGCGTTGCGCCGACGTCCGACCAGAGCGCCGATTCTGTCGCAAACAGCGTCGGCCAGCAAGCGCGCACTAAGTCCAAGCCGTTCGCGACCACGTCCCAGTCTTGCGTCGAAATCGCCTTGGAGAGGACGCGCAAGAGCCCCAGCGCGGACGGTGCCGCGTCGGCCGAGAAGAAGAGCAGCGACACCAAAGACGGCTGCCGGTCGACGCTGAGCGCCAAGAGGCGCAAGGCCGACGCCTGCCGGGTCGGAGCACTTGCGTCCGTCACAAGCTCCCAAAGCGCCGTCACAAGCGCCTCTGTATCTTGCGGCGTTGAAAAGTGCGCGACAAACGTTGTCGTCGTCGGCAGCACAATGAGCGCCGTGAGCAGCTGCAAACTGCCATCGAGGATCGCCGCAGCCGGCGACGAAAGCAGCGCCGTGCACACGAGCGGCCAGTTGAGCGCGACGCCGCGAACCGTGACCGTGGTCGCCAGCAGCGAGGACGATGCGATGGACGACGCATCGGTGAGGGCACGCGCGACGAGCGGAGCGGCCACACGACCGACGCAGGCCAAAAGCGTCGCGGCCAAGCGCACATGCGTCGGCGACATGGTGTCCAGAGTCAACGGCAAGAACGGCGTCGCGTCCGGCGTCGAGTCGTCAAACACAAAGCGCGCCACCGACGCTTTCGGCGCCGGCAGTGCGATCGGAAACCACCGCGCGAGCGTCGAGAGCACGAAGTTCGGGAACGTCGCGCTCGGCTCGGCCCAGAGCGTCGCCCATGCGTCGTACTGCGTGTCGAGGCGCGCGTGCACGAGCCGGAAGCTCGTGAGCCCGAGCACGTCTTGGTCTTCGATCGTGTCAAACTGCCACGTCGGGTACGACGTGACAATGGTCAAAAGGACGTTGGTGAGCGACGTGGACCAGTCCTTTGACGACGACGGCAAAGCAAACACGTGGGCCGCGAGCTGGAGCATGTTGAGGACGCTCGGGTACTGTCCTGTCGGCGCTTCGAGGCCCGTCACGACCGCGTGGAGCGCTGACACGGCGTCGTCGACCGCGATGCCGCGCAGCACGCTCGCCGTCTCGTGCCGCAGCGCCATTGCGGCGCAAAACGCGAGGCACGCTTGCTGCAACGCCAGCGGGCTTGTAGGGTCATGGAGCAGCGCGCCGACGCGACAGAGCGCGGGGGCCAGCGCGGTATGTAGCGGCGCGTCGTCGTCGACGTCACGGTGCGTCAACAGCGCCGTCATCAGGTGCAGGATCGCAGTCGCAGTCGACCCGCGCGACGTCGCGAGACGATGCAGCAGAATCGGCCACACGGGCGTCGCCAGGTGCCAGCACACGAGCACCGGCGCGTTGGGCAGCGTGAGCTTTTGCCCGCGCGTGCCGCTCGGCACGAGTACATTGTCGTTCGCAAAGAGATACGCGTCGGTCGTGACGAGCCATGCGTCGTCCGCCGCGTCGACGACATGCGGCACATCGTCGGCCAGCACGGTCGTGTACAGGTACGTGGAGGCGAGGTCGGCGAGGATCGCGTCGACCGTCGACGGCGCGCACGCCGCGGCGAGCAGATTCACGCGCGGCAAGAGCCGCACGGGGAAGAGTGACGAGAGTGCCGACGCCGTATCGTTGAGCTAATCGACAAGGCATGAGCACACACGACAACGATGATGGATGGAGAGATGATGCACCTCGTTGAAGACGGCGACGGAGAGCGTCGGGTTGCGGTGCAAGAGCGGCGTGTAGAGCTCGACGATCGTGAGCCACTCGGCCTCCGACTTGGTCAAGTCGAGGAGGTCGAATTCCTTGGTAAAGCCAGCAATGAACGGGTACGCGGCCGCTTGGAGCAGCGGGGCGTTGCTGACTGGGACCGCGTCGTCGAGCGCCCAGACGGGATGCGCGAGGTCAAACACAAGCGGCGTCGGCGCAAGGGGTGAGAGGCACGATGCAAAGTGCGCAAGGCCGCCAAGGAGACGGCCCTTCTCAAGCGCCACGTCGCACATCGAGTCGTCCATCTCAAACTCGACGGCTTCCGTATGGCGACGCGCCTTCAAGATCGAGACCATCGACCGGTAGGTCGCATCGTTCTGCTCGACGCGGCGCAAGAGGAGTGCAAACGCAAAGAAAAGGCTGCCGTACGGCGAGCTTGAGCGCGCTTCGAGGCCCAACGGCAGGAGCTTGTCCATCATAAACTCGTACAGAACGGCCAACGCTTCCGCGTCCTCGGCGATCGGCTTAGTCATGATGTGCATGGCCAAGAAGAGCATGTGCGTCTGGAGCTCGCGCGATGAAGCGCCAAAGCGCCGCTTGAGGAGGACGCGGATAACGCGGTGGATGGTGGCCGGCGACATGATGGCCTCGGCGACAGCCGCTGCTAGCACCGCGCGGAGGCTGCGGACTTCTTCTGCCGGCTTGGCATGACCATCGAGATCGCCATACGTCGACTCGTACGCGTCGAGGCTGCGCAGCAAGGACCGCTCCGACGTCAACGGCTCCCGCGGCGACATGGGTCCTTCGAATGGGTGGGAAGACGCTTGGGTCTGAATATGGTCGATTTTCATTGGTGCAAATGCCTACATTTTCGCACCAATCAACACGTTGCTCCGGACAAAAAGCATGGACAAACTGTGGCCCCAGAGACCATTCTTATTGGTTGAAAATACTGCAGAGATGGGAGCATCGACCAATCAAAGCATGCAATGCATCCAAAGATCGTACAAGGCATTGGAAGACATTGCCCTGCCCTTTCGGTACACCAGCTCCGTTGTCGCTCCATGCACCTCAAGCTCGTAGTTGACACCTTTGCCGTTCATTTACCATTCGTCCTCGACTCCAAGCCCCGTGCGTGTCTGCAAGACGCCGACCTCAACGGCCAAAGTGACCGACTCGCTGAGCGCATCACCGTTGCGCGTGCATTGGACCAAATGTGATTTCTTCCAAGTGCCTCGGCCGCGCAAAGCGGTGAACGAGTCACAACGCCCCACGTAGTCTTCGTCGCCTAAACCACGGAAGAACGCGCGCCGGCGATGCAACGTCAGGGATGGCACTGCACCCGCGAGAGGTATATAAAGTACAATCCTAGTGCAGCTTCCTTGCTATCAAAGTCGGCGTTGAAGAGCTCGACCGAGACACCCAAAATCACGACAAATCGCCTGCTGGATGTTGTTAGAAAAGATAGTGTGGCTCGGTTCTCAGTGGTGATGGAGCTGGTCAAATGAGATGGTCTCAAAAGCCGTCATGATGGACAACAGCGTTGCGATACAAGTGGAAGCGGCGTTCTCTTGCGTCATTACGGTATTTGAACCAAACTGCGAGCCATACGAGCGATCGTGGAGTGGGCAACCTGCCACATAGGCCATAAACTTGCGTCAGTTGATGGCCTTGCAGACACTCACACGCCTACCTGTTTGCAGTGGTTGCGGAACCTCAGGTTATTACTCGCACTCCCTCTTTGTCATGGCAATGTAGAGCACTGGTCGGGTCATATTTGTCTGGTGCCATGCCGCGGTTTATTGGCGCGAGTTCAACAGGAAGCCAGATCACCGGGCGGGTCGAAGCCTTGCTAAACCGAAGATGTGGCTACTACTACTAGGTAGGTGAGATGGTGTAGTCGCATCTACCTCTATATCTACTAGTAGTACGACGATTCCCCTTGCTAACTGCAAACTTTTCACTAGCTCGTTTTCCTGGCACTGGAGTCGTGACATGTTCCATCGCCAAGGGCCAGAGTTTCCCTCCAAAAACGGGCCAATCATAGAGCGCTGTATGTATTTTTATCCATCCATACAGTAGACAAGGTAAGATAAAACTAGGAATTGAATGACCTGGAGCCAAAATACGCGTTGGGTATAGTTGGCAGCATGAGCTCGAAGCGGAAGCGTACGAGCGTCGGGTCCGGGCCGCTCCTGGCCGCGAGCAAGATCACGGAGGCCGAGCGCCGGCAGATCCGCTGCAAGGAGCGCGAGATTCTCACGGACCTGCGCGAGAACAACCGCGACGTGGTCCAGATCGCGAGCAAGGCCTTCAAGACCAAGACACAGGAGCTCGACAGCGTGTACGAGCGCGTCTTCTACCCGCGCGAGGCCAACCTCGACGCGTGCAACCTCGACGAGTTCAGCAACGTCGTCGTCAAGCAGGCTGGGCTCATGGGCTCGAGCGATCTCACCAAGTTTGATGTCGCCGACCTCATGAGCGCTATCAAGGAAAAGTGCATCGCCGACGAGCGCGGCAATGGCCTGGACTGGGACCGCCTCGGGTCGGCCGTTGGCGCCTGCTTTAGCAGCACGATTGGCACTAGCTTCATGTACGGCTCCATGGTACGACCCACAGCTGCCGTGGCATCATGCTCATGCTCATGCTCTTGCGTAGGACACCCAAGTCGTGCAAAAGGAAAAGAAGACCGTGCGCCGTCGCCGCCAAGACGACTTGGATGCAGTCGAGACGCAGCCAACGCAAATCAGCGGCGAGAATCGCCCGGACAAGGAAGACGTTCAGGCCGTGCGTCTCCAGAAGCTTGTCAAGACACTCAAGCGGTCGGCCAAGAAGGTCGACGTCTTTGAGCTCTGCGTCAACCCCGAGAGCTTTGCGCAGGTCATCCTCATCATCTTCGCCATGCTTGCTTCATGTTGCTTTTGTTTAGACGGTCGAGAACTTTTTCGACATGTCCTTCTTGATCCGGAACGGCCACGCCAAGATCCAGCGCGCCAATGCTTCGGCGGCGCCCACGATCCGTTGCCTCTCATGCACATCTTGTTCTGACATGAACTCTAGAAAACCACGATGGCATCAACGACGAAGAGCTGCCACCGTCCACGCAGTGCGTGATCACGATCTCGTACAAGCAGTGGGAGGCGCTCTCCAAGATCTACCGCGATCCGCTCGTGGGGACCCGCGCGAGCGTCTAAGAGTACATGCTGGCTGCATGGAGGCTGCTAGTATATTCAGTCGAATCTAATTCTCTACGGTGTGCGCCTTCTCGTTCGCGTCAAACTCGGCGATGAGGTCGGCCGACGCCTGCACAAGCTCTACGAAGGCGGGCTTGTCGCACAAGTTGAAGTGGGGCGCGCTCTCCTCCGTGGGCGGGATCGTCACGAGGTCGACGCCGTCGGCGCCCGTCGTCACCGGCTCGTGCGGGATGCCGTTCTGCTTCATGTACTCGACGACCTTGGGCAACGCGTCGACGTACAACGAGATAAAGTTGGCCTGGCCATACGCGTTGCGGAGCACCTAGACACGCTGATGTTTGGCACCGCGCGAGGCTTGATGGCCGCGTACCACGGGGGCGTTCTTGGGCTTCACCGACTCGTCGCGGTCCTCGAAGCGCTTGTCCTCGACTTCGACGTCGCGGACACCGACAAAGCGGAAAGGACGTTGCACGCCCTAAAGACGCTGCTATGAGCCATGCAGATGACGATGTGCATCTCGCGTACGTCGGCTTCCTGCGTGAAATGGAGGTCGAGGAGCGTGGATTCCTAATTACTATGCGTATAAGCATGCACAGAGGCTCGATCGACCTTACCGAAGAAGCCTCATCTTCCTTCGGGGCCGACGAGAGGAAGCGCGCCATGCGCGGCTGGGCGCGGGGCAGGACGCAGCGCTGAGCGAACTTACGAAGCATGGTGATGCAGAATGCAATGGCTCCCGATATTACTGGATGCCCACAAATATTATGTTTCAAGAGGGTATTATACTGTGATAGCCTATATCATATGTATTGTCACGGGTCATCAAATTAAAAGGAATGCGCCGCGCTCGAGACTTCAAGCAGCCAGCATCGACGCCAGCAAGCCGCACACTGCATGGAGATGGCCTTCGGCGTCATCACTTTGTATTGCATGGGGGCATTTGTAGCTCTGCATCAAAACGACTCAACGCAACTTGAACCAGTAGTCAACTTCGGGTCAATTATGATTAGCTCAAAGCCGGATGAATTTGTACTTGATCCCCAAGGCGAATGAATTTGTACAATTGTACTTGATCCCAAAGGCGTATCGGTTGATGTGGATATCTGTGCGAATGCATTTGTGAGAACAGCATTTTGTCACTGACTCAATTGCTCATAAGAGTTCCGGGAGGCACGCTTGAAGGGGCAGACTTGACGTTGTCGGAACACCAGCGCACTTATGACGCTAATCCTTTCTTCTGATTGCGTTGGAAAACGCGGCTTGGCCGAGCATGGTTCAAGACAACAGTGATTAATTTTAGCAATGCATATTAAAAGGTTACTGGGCTTGGGATAACAGTGTGTGGGAGTTCAGGAGTTCTTTCAGAAGTCGGCAAACATAGTTTCTACACGATTGTGTTCGGAATAGTAAGGATTTGTTTAATCTTCATGAAGCCCTTGTTCCCAAAAACAAATATACATGCACCAAAGTTGTCTTTCAGAAGTCGGCAAACATATTTTCGACACGATTGTGTTCTGAATAGTAAGGATTTGTTTAATCTTCACAAAGACACGATGAGTATATATAACATACAGGTATTTCTCTCAGGGTACGAGTTGACCACATGCGATGATTCAGGTCTCAAAGATTATTTGTATATCATCGAGAAATAAATATACAAGGAGCAATAGAGTGTAATGCACTTTCTTTCAGAAGTCGGCAAACATAGTTTCGACACGATTGTGTTCTGAATAGTAAGGATTTGTTTAATCTTCACAAAGAAAGTTTGCAGTTCGAATATAAAGTGCTTGGACGAGAGATTCCATCAACAAATAATAGTGTCCGCAAAGGCATCTCCAAGGAGCGACCTATTATGGATCTCAAACTTTAGAATCACGCGGATCTCGTTTTTTCTACTCTGCTCTAGCGCCTAAATTCAAAAATGATCGCTCTGTGTTGCGATTGGGTATTCGCGTGAGCGAGCCTCGGAGCCAACCAAATTCATGCATCCCAACCGACCTTTCCGGATTCGCTTTCCGTATCCGGAACAGATGGCCTGAACGAAAAAGTATACGTGGGGAACAAAAAAAGACGGTGAACAAGATTTCTCTTTTGGAGCAATACTATGTTGAACAGCTTGTGCCAAACTATCCCGCAGTAAAGCGTTTACTCGTACTAATCTTTCGCCTTTTACTAAAGATTACCGTGGACGTCTTACAAACAATGCGGCTTCACCAATTTCTGACCTCCCTCTGGGAGGACCATCTGACTCTCCTTTCATCTTGTCAACCACCTTCAATGTTAATTCTGTGGCCACCTCATGACGCCCATGCACACAATCTTTCATTGCACGTGTTTCTATGACGAGCAAAGCACACGAGCTACAGTATTGTGCTCTGGAGGCAGTTGGTCCAGTGGAGGCTTGTGAGACGGTCAAGAAGACATTTGCCCGCAGAGAGCAATGAATTCGTTGGGTTTGGGAAAATGCGACAAATTGCCCCGAAAAGCTACCGCAAGAGTTGGTATTTCATTCGTCATTTTCGTCGTTGCCTTGAATCCACGGCAATTTTTCGGTGGGGATAATGTTGACAAAATGGTCAAGAACGCGTCAAGAAGCTTCGTCAAGATTGAGAAAGGTCTGGGAAGTGCATTGCATACCAGCCGGTATGTCGTATCCGGTTGTCCGCTCGGCACTTTGCTTTTTCGCCTCTGTTCTTGGCCCATCATCATGCTTGCGACGACGCTCCGCCGCCACTTTAGCTCGGTACGCCCCTTGTCCGTTCCATGGCCCTGACGCGCTCTATGTAGAGCACGCGCCCGTTCCGCGTCCTTGGCATCCAGCAGGTGGCCGTCGGCGGCCTCGACAAGGGCGCGCTCAAGCACCTCTGGGTCGACACTTTGGGCCTCACGTACAAGTCGAGCTTCAAGAGCGAGCGCGAGAACGTCGACGAAGACATCCTTGAAGCTGGGAAAGGGCCGTTCGCGGTCGAGGTCGACATCATGCAGCCCATTGATGCCACGAAGTCGCCCAAGGTGCACTTGCCGCAGCTCAACCACGTGGGTCTCTGGATCGACGACTTGCCCAAGTGCGTGGACCACTTGACGAAGCAAGGCATGCGCTTCACGCCTGGTGGCATCCGCAAGGGCGCCGCGGGCTTTGACGTTGTCTTCTTGCACCCCAAGGGCAACGACGCTTTCCCGCTCTCGGGCGAAGGCGTCCTCATCGAGCTCGTGCAAGCGCCGGCGCATGTCATCCAAGCCTTTGACGCGATTAAGGAGTAGATGAGATTTCTTCGTAATGTACATGATTTCCTAGTGTGAGGTCCACGGCCAAAGAAGCGATACCACGATATGGGCGTGGGATCTGCTGGATTCCTTCCTTAAAGCAGGAAGAAGATGCTATGGCCGTTGTGTCCATCAAAAGTACAGGCGTAGTGACGCAACCACGTCAGCAGTCGACTGCCGTCAACAACCGCTTCCGAGCTTCTGCTAGTGCACCGAGCTGAGTTGTTTACTGGCCATGAATAGTAGACAATCGATCGACGCGAGACTGCCACCCGATGCGTTGACTGCTAGGAATGCCATATTGTACACATTGTACACATTTTACAATGTTTATGGAGTACATACTGGCACGCTACACTGTACTGAAGCAAGCTGCGAGGGCGAGGGCTCCGCGATCGCACTGGGTCGTATCCGGAAGGCCGGATAATGATCGCGCGGGCCTCGACCAGTGATACGAACGGAAAGATGCAGAGCCAAGTGGTCCACGACGGCGGCCCGGTCGAGTTCACGAAGGAGTCGCCGGCGCTTAAGCTTGACGTGCTCAAGACGTTCAACCGCGCGCGGGCTTGTAACCTTCACCTGCCGCATGGCACGGTGCACACGCCGGTCTTTATGCCCGTGGGCACGCAGGGCACGATCAAAGGTAAGCGACAACAGCGCTGGCGTTGCAGTCGTTTAGCCGCGCGCCGTAGGCATTACGACCGAGCAAATGGCCATGCCGCCGATCGACTGCAAGATCTTGCTCGCCAACACGTACCATTTGGCGCTGCGGCCGGGCACCGACCTCATTGACGGTACTTGTTGCCGACGAGATACGCATGCATGGATTATGGACTAGACATGGGCGGTCTCCACCAGTACATGAACTGGAATCGCAACATCCTGACGGACTCGGGCGGCTTCCAGATGGTCTCGCTGCTCGAGCTCGCGCAAATCACCGAAGTCGGCGTCGAGTTCCAGGTAGGAGGACTTCGACGCGGATCGAGCCGGGTGCCATTGGTAGTCTCTAGTCGCCAGTCGATGGCACCAAGATGCTGCTAACGCCCGAGATGAGCATTGCGCATCAAAACAACATTGGCGCCGACATCATCATGGCGCTCGATGACGTGGCGCCGTCGACGATCGAAGACGACGCGCGGTTCCTTGAAGCGACGGACCGTACGATGCGCTGGATCGACCGGTGCATCGCCGCGCACAAGAAGCCTCACTGCCAAAACCTCTTTGGCATCGTCCAAGGTAATCAAGTGAGATGATGGAGGATACAAATATACTGACACATGCAGGTGGCCTCGACACGTCGGAGGGCGGCCTTCGCGACCGCTGCATCCAAGGCATGATCGAGCGCAACCTTCCAGGGTACGCTGACACCACGACCGGAACGACTAAATATGTGTGTAGGTATGCGATCGGCGGTCTCGCCGGTGGCGAAGACAAGACGTCGTTCTGGAACGTCGTCGCCATGTCGGCGGAACGGTGAGCCCTTTTCCATGCAACCCCTACCCACCGCGTCATCTCATCTTTCTGGGCGCAGGCTGCCGGCCAACAAGCCGCGGTACCTCATGGGTGTCGGCTATCCCGTAGACCTCGGTACGTCTCTGCGACCTCGATACCTCTTCTTATGAACGTCGCGTCTAGTCGTGTGTTCGGCCCTTGGTGTCGACATGTTCGACTGCGTCTACCCGACCCGCACGGGGCGCTTTGGCACGGGCATCACGTCCAAGGTAGTACCGCATCACAGCAAAATGCCTCGCGCTTACGGGTGTCTAGGGTCTCTTGCGGCTCAAGCTAGCCGAGTTTGCCAACGACACGGCGCCGCTGGACGCAGGTACATGCGTCATTTCTAATCAAAGGATCTGAAAAGAGTTGTAGACTGTGCATGCTACGTCTGCACCAAGTACACACGCGCGTACTTGCACCAGGTCATGAAGACGGAAGGGTCGATTGGCCCGCAGCTCGTGACGTACGCGATGCCTCTGTCTCGCGCCGTGAGCTCACATGTTGCTTGTCCTTGTAGGTACCACAACATTACGTACATGCTGTACCTCATGTCGAATGTGCGCGCCGCGATCCTCAACGAGACCTTTCCCGCCTTTGTGCGGGCCTTTATGAAGGCGTGGTTCCCGACCGAGCCCGTCCCGACGTGGGTCGTCGAGGCGCTGACCGTCGCTGGCATCTCGCTCGACGACGCGTAATCGCACATCCGATGCGGAATTGACGAAAGCAAGGCAGATAACCTGCACGAATACCACGACGATGAAGTAGCAGTTGGGATGCGAGAGCCCACGTTGGTACTGAGATACTACGTTCTTATAGTGGTGGTAGCTTGCGCTACACGCGCAGCAATGCGGAGCATTGGAACACGCGTTGCGGAGTGCGAGAGACGAAGACAAGGTGGTGAGCACATGCTAGAAGCGCGAGTGCCACGACGTGGCTCGACGTGGCGGGCGGCAGTCGCATGCGTTCACTGTGAAGCGAGCGAAGATCGCACTGCACTGTATATCCGGATAAAATGTCCATATATCCGGATGAGGTCGGTCGACGCATCTGCATCGGTGGAGCTTGGACGTTGATCAACAATGTCCCGCAACTCGCTGCTGCGCCGCCTGGTCCTGACGGCCGAGTCGGGCGTCCTATCGGCGAAGCAACGTACGTCGTCTTACGCCGTCATGGCTGCTCATGCTCGTGTGTGCAACAGTCATGGGCCTACGCCTCAATGTGGCGCCGGAAGCGCACGTGTTTCGTTTCGACAAGCCCGAGGCGACGGAAGGCTGGCTCATCTCGAGCGACCGTGCCATCGGAGGTACGGCGTGGCACCATGTGCTTTGTCGCCTCACACCTAGTACGCTAGGCGAGTCGACGTGCGCGTTTGAGTTTGTGCCCACGGCCGACGACAGCGAAAAGGACTCGCCCAAGGTTGGCGCCGGTACGACGTTCTCCGTGGCCATGGTCATCGCTCATGGCATGCGTAGCCGTCTTTTCGGGCCGCCTTAGCTTGTCCGTGCAGCCGACAGAGCAGCATGTCGTGCGCAGCGGATACTGCGCGATTCGCGGCAACGTACCGCGCGGTCTGCATTTGCACGGCTACGAGGGTTTGGCCATGCGCATCAAGACCGATGGCCGCACATATCGCATCAACGCCCAGGCCGACGGATGGAACCCCCACGATCTGTACATGGGCTTTCTCAAGGCGCCGGCCAACGAGTGGGTCGAAGCAGAGGTACACCGCCTTGCATGCGTCATGGACTCACTCACTACTTGGCGTAGCTGGCATTTTCAGACTTTATCTTGACGTCGCGCGGCTACGTGCAAGTGGACGACCCGGCCAAGCTCGACCCGTCCTCGCTGCGCACGGTGGCTCTACAGAATACGCATGGACATGTCCTAACATTGGCCCTCGTAGATTGGCATTGCGCTAGCCGACGACAAGGAAGGACCGTTCAAGTTTGCGATCGAGTGGATCAAAGCGGTCGAGAAGGTCGACACGACCAACGTCGCGCCCAAGCCGCGCGTGTCGCTCAAGACGTAAGCACCGTACTGGAGGATACAAGCCGGAGCTCATTCACCTCTGTAGCGAGCTGCTCGACGACGACGAGATCGGGCCACTGGAAGACGACAGCAGCGACGACGCTAACACGACCAAGGCCCGCCGGCCGCACAAGTCGGACCTCGTCATTTGAGCACTACGACTGCTAGATAACATGTGTGCGCGTGCATTATTACTACGTGTGGGCCTATTCTTATACTTCGTCTTCGCGCAACAGCATGTTGGGGATGCCATCGACGATCGGAAACTCGCGGCCCGACTCGGGGCACGTGAGCGTGCCCTTCTTCACATGCACATCCAGAAGCGCGTGCTGCACCTTCTTCAAGACCTCGTCGTTGGCCATGTCGGCCTCGGTCATGGCCGACGGGAGGCCGTCGGCCACGCCGAGCGACGTGGCCGCGCCGTGAAACGCAGCATAATCGATCTTGGCGAGCATCTTCTTGACAAAGTCGGCGTTGAAGTCCGAGGCGACGACCTCGGTCTCGTCGGCCGAGAGGCGCAGCGGGAAGCCGTTCGAGACGCCCTTCTTGTTGCAGTAGAGCATGTTGTGCGTGATTAGGCGCATGATGGTGCTAGTCGTCGAGCTGCTGCGTCAGTCGGCCTTTCCAAGAACTAGTAATCCGCTGCCACCAACCGCTGGTCCGTTGCGTCATCCGGATAATCGGACTGTGCCACAAACGCGCCACGCGGATCGAGAGCGGTCGCACGACGAATATGCGATGAGGTTTTCGTTCCGCAGCAAGCGCGCCGAGTACAAGAGGTGTCCCGCCTGTTAAAGGACGGTGAGCTCTAGCTCAGAGTCGCCCCACGAGCCCGTGGGTGGAAAGAGGCAGTGGGCAGACAGTGGTAAAACTCGGTACTTAACTGTGGCATCGTCGTTCGTATTGTTGTCACCATTTGCATGGTTTCCGTGGGCCCTTTACGCCGCAATGTCGGCAAGGCGTGGACGACGTTTTCGCCCATATCTTGCAGCTCGAGCACCACGCAGACGAAGGACTATGTCATTGTAGAGTTGGACCCGTCGCTGACTCGTTGCGTCGCTGCCGATAGCAGGGACGTATATCGGTGCATCATTGTCGTCCACCAGGCGTGTACTGTCTGCTCTTGATCGCAGTGTTCTTGCCCATCGTTGTTTAGACATGCCTGCCATTTACTAATCGTCGCCAGCGAAGCATCTTCACCACGAGCCAACGCACGAGCCTCCGTGTCGACGCGTTCGTCTTGGCACAAGCTCCACGCGGATGGTGTGCGCTGACGACGACGTTCGCTGGCGTGGCGACGTGGCGTGGCAGCAAGCAGCAAGGAGTGGAAACGCGGATAAGATTTTCGAACGCGTGCTGGGATTGGTTGGCGAATTTTTATTTTGACCAATCGAGAGCGGCGGACGCAGCTTGCCCTTGCGGTCACGCAGTCTTGAAAACGCCATGCCGATCCGAGCCGCCGAGACAGTCTTCCGCGACGGCGTCTTTGACGGCAAAGTCGTACGTGCACCGGCGCGATGACGGGGTGCGCTGAGCTGCGAGTGTAGGCCATCGTGACGGGCGGCGGTACGGGCATCGGCAAGTGCATCGCCCACGAACTCGCGTCCCTCGGCTGTTCCGTCGTCATTGCCGCTCGGTGCGTCGCGATCCTGTGCTTTATTCTCATGACATGATTGCGTGCCTAGCAACCTCGAGCGCTTGAATGCGGCGGTCGCCGAGATCAAGAGCGAGCTCTCGCCCAAGCACGCAGCCCGTGACTGCGTCTTTGCCGTGGCTTGCGACGTGCGCAAGGAAGACGACGTACGTTGTACATTGGCGCCGACGAGGAACCATCCTTGCGTCACTAGGTCAAGCGCTTGATGGCGGCGACACTTGAAAAGTACCAGCGCATCGACTACCTTGTCAACAATGGTCGACTTTGTCCTTCTTGATGCGGTACTGAAGAAGGACATGCATAGCTGGCGGGCAGTTCATTGCACCCTTTGAAGACGTATCGCTCAAAGGCTGGGAGGCAGTGCACCGCCTCAACTTGTACAGCTTGACTTTCGCTGCAAAACTCTTGACCGACGCTATTAGGACGGGCACGTTCCTTGTCACCAAGTACGCGTACGAGGCGTACCTCAAGGAGCACGGCGGGTCGGTTGTCAACATCCTCGTAAGCATGGCGAAAGGCTTTCCGGGCTCGAGCCACAGCGGATCGTCGCGCGCCGGCGTCGAAAACATGACCAAGTCGCTCGCGGTCGAGTGGGCGCCGCGCGGCATCCGGCTCAACGCAGTCGCGCCCGTACGTCTTGTCGCCGTCCACGAGCTTGGATGAAGGCTTCGCGTAGGGCACGATTCTGAGCTCGGGCGTGGGCAACTACTTTGGCGGCGCTGCGCTCTTTGAAAAGCTGGCGCGCAAATTTCCCGCGCAGCGCATGGGCACGGTCGAAGAGGTGTCGGCGGCCACGATTTTCCTGCTGTCGCCGGCCGCGTCGTTTACGACAGGCACGACGGCGGTCGTGGACGGCGCCATGTACCTCGAGGGCAACTTTTGGGACCTCACCGAGCACGACAACTTCCCCGTGTACGGCAAGAGCAAGCTCTAATCGGCTCATTTGCGCAGCTGCATGAGACCACTCCACATTGACAATACAATCGCTATTTGTCTCTAACGATCCATTAACAGTGGAGAGGAACAGCGGCACGTGCACCGCCTAAAGCCACACCTAAAGTACGACGCCTAAACCAAGTCGTACGCGATCTTCTACGCCCAGCGTGCTAGCCACTGACATAGTCTACGTGAGCTTGTAACTCTCTTGACCGTCTGCCCTCGTGTCGCGGATGTCAGGCCATGCGCAAAAATGACGTGGCAAGCGGAGAGCGCTGATCGACATATGCATCTTGAGAGGTCCTGTCTAAATGCATGATCGCAAACAGGCGTGACCTTTCGGGAGCCGTCGCCAGATTTCAAGATGGCGACACGAGGCGCGTTCAAGATCCCCGACACGTCGGCCGACTACCTCTCGCCGGGTCCAAGCACGTTTGACTCGCTGCACCATGGCAGTCTCACCTCGGACATGTCGATGCTGGACGACATTGACCCGAGCCTCGGTGCGTCCTGTCAGATACGACATCATGGTGCGATGCCACGTACGTAGCGGGTGGCTACCGCGTCGTGTACGACCGAGAAACGCCATTCGAACTCCGTATTCAGGTCCTATCCGCGCCATCGTCAGCCACGTCTGACTGTTGAGACAGACGGACAATGCGCCGCAGCAAGTGGGCACGCTCGAGGCCATCAAAGTCAAGATTCTTCTCCTCGTACGTCGTCGTCTCCTTGCCTCTGTCGTGGTTTGTGACTGCAAAATGACGTGGCTAGGGCGACGAGAACGATTTGAGAGCGCTCAAAATTGAGCTCTCGACCGAGTCTGACCTGTTCTTTTACTATACGCACATTTGCGACCTCGAGGGGTTCCAGATCGTGCAGGAGCAGCAAAAGCTCATGGTCGACTTTGCCGACTACGCCAACGTGCTCGTACGCATGTTGAACAACTGCATAAAGGAGCCGCACAACCACATCGCTGTGTACCTCATGCAGTCGGACGGCCGCGCGCGCCTTGACTTTATCCAAGTACCTTTAAAACGACGAGGCGTCGGCTCGCAATGCGGCGTAGAACATGGAGTACAAGTTTGTCGAGCTCCTCTCGGTGGACTTTGCCCGCGCGCCCGAAGAAATCGTGCGCCAGCACATCACGTTCCGCTACAACACGATCAAGGTACATGGGCTTTCGTGCGGAACACGCTGCTGACGCACGCGTTTAGAGCCGCGTGTCTGCGCTGCAATCGCGGCTGCACGTACGTTGAAGGCTAATCCCCACCTCGCATCGAATGGTGGTGTTCTTGCCACTCACCTGCAATGGATGCGTGTAGGAAGTCAACAACATTGTGAAGGTGAAGAATCCTTCGCTCCTGCTTCAAGTACGTCGCAGAGACATGGCTTCTCGCTCCTTTTAACGCCTTTACCAATGTATTTAGCTCCAAAAGGCCCCGCCCCCGGCTATCCACCCCAGCGGCACCCATGCAACAGCCGGCAGCTCGCGCCTCACGACGGGCCGGTTCCATTAGGTTGCGGTGGCTAACCTTTCGCCACCCACCGCCCGCTCCCACCTCAGTGTTGTGCACTGCATCGAAGCTACCGATGCGTTGATACGCAGCATATAAAAACGAAATTCAAGCGGATGCGCGGAAGCTTCTTGTTCCGGTGGAGGAGAGTGGCGCGGGGGTCCACCCGTCATCTCGTCGGATGCGCACCGGCGTTTCCGCCTTCAAGAATCCTTGGAGCTCCGCCAGCGCGTCCGCGATGTGGCGCTTCGTTCAAACCTGTAGAAAATAATACCTTTTGGAATAGAATACTGTGCATTGTTTGGCCGGCTTCCAATCAGGTGTAACTATCACTTGAAGTCTCTATAAATCGATTTAACGGCACACCCGATTTGTTGAGTTTTGGACGTTGACGTTCCGGCGTATCCCACAACCATCGTTGTCGATTGGCCGGAACGTCCGGTTCCAGAAATCGTGCGGCCGCGATTGGTTGCTTTTCCTCCAATCATATGGCGATTCGAAGATACCTTGGGTTTGTATGGGTTGCAAATCCAAGCCAGCAACTCCGAAAAGCTCCGTGAAGCTCCTTGCACCTGGAAGTAGGTCCACACTGAAATCGTTGAAGCAACAAGGTACCTTGGTCCCTCATGCTTTGCTTTCAAAATACTGCATTTCCGAATTACCTCTTTCCCAGACCAACAACTACGATGGACGAGAAGACCGACTACGCGCTTGTGCAGGACCAGTCGTCGCTGCGAAAGAAGGTCACGCGCGGTGTCCTTACCTTCGTGTCCATCTTCCTCATTGGTCTCGGCGCCGGCGTCATCACGCAGGAGGTGAACCACAACAACATGGAGGGTCACAACTCCAAGTTCTTCGTCACGGGCGACGTCAATTCGTGCTACGGCATCCACTTGGTGGCCAACGGTGCTAGCACCGGCGACAGCAGCGTGTGCCCGGGCGCTAAGAACGCTCAGTTCCTCGTCAAGAGTGTCCCGACTGCCGTCAAGTTTGACATTCCGGCGGCGCAGTGCTTTGCAAGCGTCGTGTACGCGACCAACCAGACGATCGACGGCTTCAAGGGCCCGACCTCGATCACGATCCAGAGCGCGCTCATGGCCACCAAGCTCAACGACAACACGACTGCGACGCAGTGCGCGACGGGCTTTAGCTTTGCCAAGGCGACGACGTTCTCGCTCGACTTGGTTGCGCTCAAGGGCGTGAACGGGTCGCTGCCGTCGCACAACGCGACGATCCTTAGCAGCCTCTCGGTCTAAGCGCACCAGCCATTTTTCTACATCGCCAATATATATGTATGCTGTCGTCACTGATGGATTTCCATCACCTTGGCTGGCGGAAGGTGATGTTCCGACGTGGCTGAACACACGCAACTCGGCAATTGGGCCGAGGAACCACGATTAGTTCCACGACCACGCGACTGTGCGTTGGGAGGCCTCGAGCGGCATTACAATATGAATTAGTTTCGATCTCCAAGGATATCCGCACGCAAGAATGCACTAGTAGTGACGAGGTATGATGATGGATCATCAATACACTGTACTGTATGTGACGTCCTATCGAGCTCCGAGCCGTGACGTTAAGCTCAGCACGATTCATTTTGCTGCAAGGTGCGTTGGTATTCGAAGGTACCATGCTTCAGCACTCACCTATTAAACCTTTGTCCACTACAGCAGCTAAGACCAAGACATTCGAAAGCTTGTCCCTTCCAGCCGCCGAGATGAGCTCATTTATGGCTGACGTTCTACCACCTATTCAAATGGATAGCGCTATGTTGGTAAGCGCGCGGCCGTCGGTAGCATGACGCGCTTTTTTGTGAGGCTCCGCATCGGCGGCTGGACGGTCGCCAAGGACGCGCTGCTGGACGTGAGACCAGCGTCGAGCACATCATCGTCGAGTCGCCCACCACTGAGTGTTGGGAACGACGTTGTTTCGGGCCACTCTTCGAACCGCGATGGTCGCTTCTTCTTCTCGACCGATCGATAACTGGTCGGGTGCAGACTGGTCGCCTTTTTGCCGAGCGATGGCGGCGGCGGGTGGTGCTGTCGTGGCTGCTTTCGAAATTCCGTCTAACGTGTTGCGTAAATCCACGAGATATATATGTGTAGGATCACAGTACCCAGCACGGCAGCGTCTGGCTGGCCACCGACCGCTGCCCGACGTGGCGGGGATACATACTCGTCGTCTCTGGCAGCACTTTGGGGGGGTTGCCGCGGTTGGCGAGCTCGGTTAATATATCGAGCGGGCTCGATGGCGTCGCAATCGGCGGCAACTCGACACCGAACTGCTTCTCGAGCGCCTCGCGCGTCTTTTCGGACGACTTGGCCGCGCCCAGTTGCTATAGAATGTACGTTTTTCATTTTGTCATTGTCGAGGACGTACGACAATTTTGGCTTGGTACGTATGCAGCTTTCGAAACAGCATTTGCAACACCTTCTTGACGTCGGCGGGACCCAAGTCGTCGAGCTTGGCGGGCACGATATCACTGGCGCTCGACTCTTTCGGGGCAGTGGACTTTGTGCCGAGTTGGTGCGTAATGTCGTGGATGGCGGTGGATAGAAAGCGCAGCGTATCGTCTTGCTCGCCAAGGAAGAGCGTCTTCTCGGCCCGGGCCGCGTCCAGCTGATCGCGGGCGTCCCGGAGCTCGGACGAGAGTGTCCGGAGCTGCACTTCGAGTTGTGAAGTTTTTTCGCTGAGGAGGCCGATCATGACCTCGTTGGCCTTGTTGACGCTCTCTTTCGACGCATCTTCTTGACTGAGCATCGTTTGGTGACGCTGCGCTGCGACCTGATCGGCTTGGACGCGCTCGTTGAGTTTCTTGATGAGTTTTTGGTAAAAATGGGTGCGTTTGGCCATTTCCACTTCGGTTTCCTTGTTGAGCTACGAGAAATGTACATAGTGTCCTCGTTCATGAATGTTGTAAGGTCGCACGGACTTTGATTTGAATACGCAGCTGCGCGACTTCGGCTTCCATGGTCTTGTACTTGGCGAGGAGCTTCTCGGTTTCTTTGCTCTACACTGCAATGAGCCCCTGTGACGATAGATGCGTGAGTGTATCAACTTGATACTGTAGCTCCGAGATCATTTGGTCGTTCTCCATCATGGTGCGCTTGGTCGTCGTGTGCAGCTGGTCTTCGGTCATGGCCAGCAAATTCTAGACCATCGTCACGAAATTGATGCAAATTCGCATGGTCAACCTGTTTGTTTTCCTTGATTTTGATGAGCATTTCCTTCTTGATCCGCTCCTTCTCTTGTACATTTCGTCGTTCAATCTCAACCATTTGCTATACTCCAAAATTTGACTCTCAACACCGCCTTGCAAAGGGCTACCTGCTGGTGCGTGGCCTTTTCGCTCTCGAGGTTGATCGAGAGCTTCTCGAGAGTCTCCTCCAGTGCAGCTTTGCGCTCCTGGAAGAGCTCGAGTGACTGGAGCGTGGTCTCGGCCGACTCCATGCGCTCGGCCCAGTCCTTTTTTTCTTTGGAAAATTGCTCGTTTTGGACCGCGAGCGCCGTCTCGTACTCGTCCGTGACAGCCTCCTTCTCCCGCTTGACGCTCTCAATGTCGGTCTCGAGCTGCGTAATGACCTCGTAGTTGGCGTCGAGCTTCTTGTGCAAATAAAAGTAAATGTCCGCCTATCCATAGGGAACCCCTCAGTTGGCGTCTCGGTCTGCGATCGAACGGACCTCGTCTTCGCGCTGCTGGAGCAACTTGGCCTTGAGCGTATTGTTCTCCGCCTTGAGCAGCTCGTTCTCTTGCCCCCTATGATTTTTCATGCATGACGACGAGGATGGAGAAGGCGAGGCGAGGACATGTGCTTCATCTCGTCGTTGAGGAGCGAGAGCTCAAAGGCCAGGACTGTGTCGATCTTGCCGAGCGCTTCCATCGCGATCGTACCAATGTCGCGGAGCTTGGGCCGGTCCGACTCCTTGGACTCCATGGCTCCCTCTCGCCACGCGCCGAGAGCTAGTCGACTATAATTAGGCGCGTAACTCCACTCGGGTTGACATTCTTTTGCAAGTCACGACAATATTGACCATTATGCGTAGCGACTAGAATTTTATTACGATTTATAGACAATTATTGGCTCGTGGCGTGGTCCTGCAGCACTACCCCCTGGGCCAACTGCGTCTCGAGTTCCTCGATTCTCGCTTTGAGGCGCGCGACGTCGTCGTCGAGGGGCGGCAGCGGCTCAACGACGGTCTGGAGACCCGAGTGCCCGAGCAGCAACGCGTCAACGTCCTGCAGCAGCGCCGAGCAGAGGTAGTCTTCTTCGTCCATGTCGTCGTCCGCATCGAGGTTTTCGTACATATCATCGTCGTCATCTCGCGTCGACTCGTCGTCGTCACTGCTGCCTGACGGCGTGAGCAGTGTCGGCTTGCGCGGCCGCACACTGAGAGGTTTTTGGTGCCAGGGCAGCGCATACACCTAATGACGCGATTCAATTCATGCTCGACGTACACTCAAAGTACGACCTCTTTTGTCGGCGACACGACGGTGCGAAGCGCCAGGAGCGGCGACTGCCCCGTCGAGACCGCGTCCGAGTGCGCGCGACAACGCAGCGCTTGGGCCTTGAACGCCATGAAGACGAGGTAGATGATATCACGCGTGCGGTTCGAGTCGACTTTGAGGTGGAGCGGCGTGGGTACGCGCGTGTCGTGGCCCATGGCAAGGAGAAAGCCGTTGGGGTGTTGCGGCGCCATCGCAATCTGCAAGGTCGACGAGTAGAGCGCTTCAAAGGGCGGAATGAGCGACGACTCGCAGCTAATGCGCACGCGCTTGTCGTCAATGAGCAGCGACCACGTGTCCTACGTCCATTGTTGAGCTATTGCAAGAGGACGTCTTTTGGTACGTCTTTGGAGATTTCGTGGTGGTTGCTCGGCGCAATGTGTAGATTCTACACAAGGTTGGTCGTCGCGTCTCATAGACATGACAGGACTATGCATAATACCGTGAAGAAGGCGGTGCGGGCCTCGATGATGTTTTCGACATGCGACCGGATCGTCGGATCTATGAGGCGTCGTTGGTCCCACGGCGCTGTCTGTAGGTCTACCTTCAACGATCGGGCCAAACTCGGCGCAGTTGACGACAACGTCACCGTCGCTGCTCGCGGCGCGCATGTGCAATAGCAGCGTCGCACCAATGTCCTCGGCGGTCGGCTGGTACCAGTCGTCATTGGCGAACGGCACGGCGTGGAACTCGCCGCCGCGCTGCGCGCGGTACCACGTGAGCGCCACGTCGAGGCACGACCGCTTCAGCGGCCGGCCATTGCACACTGCGAACACGATCTGCGTGTGGTGCACGCCGCCCTGGAGGACGACGCTCTCGAGGAGCGTGCGCGGGTGGCAGCGCCCGATCGCTGCGCAGAGCTCCTCGCGGTGGCCCGGCGTGGCCGGCTCGCGCTTCCACGGGCGCCGTATTGCGTCCTTCCAGAGCGACGTCCGAGGCGTCACGGGCGACGTCTGGTTGGTCGCTGGCATTTTCGTCGACTGTCGCCGGTCCACGCCCATGGTTCCTCCGACCACTTGCCGTTGACACAACGAACTGGCCGCCATCATGGGTCGCCGCCTCGTTTTAATGACATAACACCCAGGCTGGCATACAAACACCAAGTACATTTTGAAAACGAGCCAATGAAAGACACCCAAAACCGTGGGTACCGGATAGAACGACCGGATGCACCGAAATGACACGGACGCGCGATCTCGGCCCAAGAGTGGGACGCGGCGACTGCTCCGCCAAGGATCTCTGGGCCTATGCTGCTGGTAGTCGACAGCACGCTAGCTGTTCTCAATAGAGACAACGATTGCGTCGACGGCACCGGTAGCCCACTTATTCGTTCGCTGCCGTTGTGGACAACTTGTCCACAATGCTAGGTCGTACTACGCATATTTAAAAAGGTGCCTGGCCTATGCGTGCGTCAGCCGAGCTTTGCTAGCACAATGCGGTGCCGCGCACCGAGCCACAGTACCTCGTAGCATGCATGCCTCGTCGTCGCTCAAGAGCGTCCGACCTGGGGGTTTCTTAGGCGTTTCTTAGTGATGTTGAACGAGTACGGTACTTGAACTAACTAAACTGAAGGAACCACAAAGGATACGGCGATTGCTTGTGCCAGTACAATGATGACTAAGGAGACAGCAAACGTACGTCGTTTACCCATGGCGATCGAATGCAACAAAGTTCGGCGTTCGGGGGTTCGATGTGGCGCCGCGTTGATGGCGACGACCGGCGACGTAACCGCTGGAACCTCTCAAAACGAATAACCTCTGTGGCCGCGATACCCCAAACGATTGGCGGAAGCGCCAGCGTGTTTGCCGACCGTTTATTTGACGGCGCCGCTGATTGGCTCTCGGCACATCCAGCTAAGTGGACGCAAAAATCCAAGTTGGTTCCTGCTACGATGACGACGACGACGAAGGCCAAGTTTGGGACCTCGTGGCCGGCGACCAACCCGTCCTCGGCGCCGGGCTCGTGTCCGCAGCGCACGTACGTACCATGCGCTTCGCCGCGCTCTGCTCATGCCAACGATATCTTATAGCAACCCCAAGCTGTTGAAGCTCGTGGAGCCGCATGTGGCGTCGTTCGACTACATGCTCGAGGAGGGCCTCGACCTCGCCGTGCAGTCGATCGCGCCGCTGTCGATGGACGTTGGCAACAGCAACAAGATGACCATTTGGATCGAGAGCGCGCAAATTGGCTTCCCGACCACAGACGCCTCCAACAACCACGCGGTACGTGATGCCACTATTATCATGCGCATCGCACTCACGCGCGTATCGAGTAGAAGGCGATGCTGCCAAGCGAGTGCCGGCAGCGTGGCATCTCGTACACGGCGCCGCTCGTCGTGACGCTCGGCCGGTCGTTTGGCGGCTCGGCGATCGAGCACCTGCAGCGCACGGTCGGCCAGATCCCGATCATGGTGCGCTCCAAGCGGTGCCACCTCGCGGGCCTCTCGCCGCCCGAGCTCGTCCAGAAGCGCGAAGAAGCCAACGAGATGGGCGGGTACTTTATTTGCAACGGCAACGAGCGCTGCGTGCGCCTCCTCCAGATGCCGCGCCGCCACCAGCTCATGGCCGTCACGCGTGGCGCGTTCGCCAAGCGTGGCGACCTTTACTCGGACAAGGGTGTCTTCATGCGCTGCGTGCGCCGCGACCAGTCGGCGGTCACGATGACGCTCCACTACCTCCTCGACGGCAACGCCACGCTGCGTTTCGGCATCCAAAAGAAGGAGTTTATGGTGCCCGTGGGCCTCCTCCTCAAGGCGCTCTACACGCTCACGGACCGTGAGGTCTACGACCGCGTCGTGCGCGGCGACACGGAGAACACGTACTTGTCGGCGCGTATGGAGCTCATCCTGCGCGAGTCCAAGCGCTTCTCGGTCTACTCGCGCGACGAGGCGCTCGCTTACCTCGGCAAGCACTTTCGGTCGGTCGTGCCCTTCTTGGACAAGGACATGTCGAACGTCGAGGTCGGCAACCGCTTTGTCGACGACTACGTCTTCGTGCATATTCCTAAGGGCGAGAAAGGCCGCGCGCAAAAGGTATCAAGCTATCAACCGATGGCATATCGTGTCTCATCGTATGCGTAGGTCGAGCTGCTCTGCTTGATGATCCGCAAGCTGTATGCGTTCGCCAAGGGCGACATTCGCGAAGACAACCCGGATAGCGTCATGAACCATGAGCTCCTCTTGCCGGGCCACCTCTACCTCATGATCCTCAAGGAAAAGCTCCAGGAGATGCTTGTGAGCATGCGTCTGCAGATCGAGCGCCAAGTCGCCGACGTCAAGAACAAGGTGAGCGTCATCGACCTCGCGTACCTCAAGAAGACGTGGGAGCGCACGGCCAACATTGGCAACGCGATGACGTACTTTCTCAACACGGGCAACCTCCGCACGTCCAGCGGTTTGGATTTGATGCAGCTTGCGGGCTACACGATCGTGGCCGAGAAGCTCAACTACTACCGGTACTTCTCCCACTTTCGCTCAGTGCACCGTGGTCAGTTCTTCACGACGATGAAGACGACGACGGTCCGCAAGCTCCTCCCCGACTCGTGGGGGTTCATGTGCCCCGTGCACACCCCCGATGGTTCTCCGTGCGGTCTCCTCAACCATCTGGCGGTCGAGTGCCAGCTCGTGACGTCGCCGCCCTTCACGGCCGACACGGTGCTCGGCGAAGAGCACAAGCTCGCGCGCTTCCTCGCCGACCTCGGCATGGTGCCGGCGACCGGCTACAGCGATGGTGCGTGCTTCATGCCGCACACGTACCTCCCGATCACGCTCAACGGCAAGGTCCTCGGTGGCGCGCCCGCCGAGGTCTGCACGATCATCGAGCAGGCGCTGCGCTACACCAAGGCCGTCAAGGACAACAGCGTGCGTACCGAGCGTGGTGTTGACAAGACGCTTGAAGTGTGCTTGATCCTCCCGGTTGTCGGCGGCCCGTTCCCGGGTCTGTTCCTCTCGTGCGACGCGGCGCGCTTCACGCGCCCGGTCAAGCAGCTCCAGACCGACCTCGTCGAGTACATTGGCCCGATGGAGCAGGTGTTTATGAACATTGCCGTGCTCAAGGACGACATTCGCGCGTCGACGACGCACATGGAGCTCAAGCCGACCAACATGCTCTCGCTCGTCGCGAGTTTGACGCCGTTCTCCGAGCACAACCAGAGTCCGCGTAACATGTACCAGTGCCAGATGGCCAAGCAGACGATGGGCACGCCCGCCCACTCGATCGTCCACCGCACGGACAACAAGATGTACCGGATCCAGTCGCCGCAAGCGCCTATCGTGCACAACGAACGCCTCCGCGAGTACCAGCTCGACGAGTACCCGCTCGGCACAAACGCCGTCGTGGCCGTCATCTCGTACACGGGCTTTGACATGGAAGATGCCATGATTCTCAACAAGTCGGCGTACGAGCGCGGCTTTGGGCACGCGTCAGTCTACAAGCAGATCAAGGTCGACATTTCGCCCAATGAAAACTCGACGACCAAGAGCTACTTTGGCAACGTCAAGCCGGGCTCGGCGAACGGCGAAGTGATCTCGACGGCGCTGGACCGCGATGGCTTTCCGCACATTGGCCAAAAGATCCAGTACGGCGAGCCAATTGCGTGCCACATCAACTCGACGACCGGGAAGGAGTCGTTTGTGAAGCACAAGGAGAGCGAGCCGGCCATCATCGACCAGATCAACCTCCTCGGCAACACAGGCACGAACGCGGACTTTACCAAGGCCAGCATCAAGCTCCGCTTCGTGCGTAACCCGATCATTGGCGACAAGTTTTCATCGCGCCACGGGCAGAAGGGTGTCATGAGTATTCTCTGGCCGCAGGCCGACATGCCTTTCTCCGAGTCGGGCATGAGCCCCGATGTCATCATCAACCCGCACGCGTTCCCGTCCCGCATGACCATTGGCATGCTTGGTACGTGGCTTATTTTGGTTGGAAATGTGGACTGATGATGGCTTCTCTCTAGTCGAGTCGATGGCGGCCAAGGCCGGTGCGCTCCGCGGCCAGTACATGGACGCGACGCCGTTCCAGTTCAACGAGCAGAACCGTGCGATCGATACGTTTGGCGTGTACCTCAAGGAGGCCGGCTACAACTACATGGGCAGCGAGCCGCTCTACTCGGGCCTCACGGGCACGGTCATGCACGCCGACATCTACATGGGCGTGGTCTACTACCAGCGTCTGCGTCATATGGTCAGCGACAAGAGCCAAGTGCGTGCGACGGGTCCGCTCAACTCGCTCACGCGCCAGCCGGTCAAGGGCCGTAAGAAGCACGGTGGTATCCGCTTTGGCGAAATGGAGCGCGATTCGCTCTTGGCCCACGGCTGTGCGTTCCTCCTCCAAGATCGTCTCATGAACTGCTCGGACAAGCACATTGCGACCGTGTGCACCAAGTGCGGGAGCTTGCTCAGCACGCTCAACCAGCGGGCGGCCGCAAGCACGGCCGGCGCCTCGGACATTGAGGTCGCCCTCGGCGCGCGCAAGCTTTGGATGTGCTCGACGTGCTCGACGGGCGAAGGCTGCGAAGCCGTCGCGATGCCGTACGTCTTCCGGTACCTCGCCAACGAACTCGCGGCCATGAACATCAAGATGACCATGACGCTCAAGGGCGTGTAAACACATAGATTCTATATCCTCGGCACCCCCACCACCACCACAACTTGCATAATTGAATAGTATACTTAACACCGTTCCCACTGACCAGTGAGCGCGACGCGCAAAAACAAGTGCTGGACCAACGAGGGGTAGGGTTCCGGCCACAGATGCTGGCGCATTCTCCATGCTCTCATGGGGAAGAAGAGACTCTACCACAAGGAGCAAAAAAGATATGGGCGCTGGCCGCCGTCGGAGGTTTGACGCTGGCCTGGAGCACGGGTATACTGACTCGATCGACTCTATACCTTTGCCTGCAAGTTGCACAGTAACTTTGCGCCCACGCACGCTCCTGCTTACTACCGCGTGCGCCGTACGAATCAAGCTGCACCCTTGGTTCTTGACAGAGCTGGGGTCAGTAGTATCTTCCTCTGTAGTACTGTGCTAGCATGCGGTCGTGTGTCCAGACATTCATGCCAAGCTACGTGCCGGTAGCGGCTCCATGGACGGCGGTATGGAAGCGCAAGTAGTCGTTGAAGCACAGTGTTCCAAGTCCACTTCAGCTTCCTCTCTTTGACTTTCTCGAGCGAATGAGAATTTCGTTCCGAGAAGCAACATGGGACTTGAACCAACCGCTACACATGCACTGGCACGAGATGCCCGTGTGCTGCAGTGGACATTATCTCGGCACTGCAGGCGCCCAGTAACGTAAGCTTGTTTCGATAAAATAGATACTTCAAGACTCGAGCCATCGCCCGCCGTGCAGCGTCGAAGGAGCTCTTGGGCCGTGACGCCAGCCTCTCTATTGGATAGACCATTGCGCTGGACGCAGAGGGGGATCATCGCGCGTGGTCATGTCGACAGCACGCAAAGACGAGGGTGGCGTTCGATCTCCGGACGCAAGCCGATCCTTGGACCGCCCGATTTGTTGGCTCCTCGCCACGGCCTGTCTGAGAGCACAGAAACCGGCCGTCGCCGACCACGCCGCCGAGTGGTGCGACGCCATTGCTCCAAGAGCTCGAGACCAATGTACCGCATGGGCTAGAGTGGTACGTCAAGGCATGCGACGGCGCGTGCGGCCGGTGGCAGCAGCGCGCTGCCCGTCGAAGGCGCGATCTTTGCGTTATCCGGATGGCAGAAACGGTTTCGAGGATATTGTCTCCGTCCCGCAGTTCAGAAATCGCGCAACATGGAGGAGTACGGAGAGCTCGTCGTGCTTGGCTACAGCAGCTACCGCGTCGCCGGCAGGGACGACCCTTCGCCACACAGCGCCAAGTGGCAGCCCGTGGGCTCGCCCAACTGCCACTTCCGCCTTGCGCCGAAAAAGACGGGCAACGGCCTCACGCGGCGCCGCGCGTTCCTTGCGACCGGCCTCGGCGAGAAGGCGTCGTCCGCCGACGCCGCCAAGGCCCAGCTGCACGCGCCCTCGAGCCAATTCGTGACGATCCCACTGTCCTTGCGCACCATGGCCATGGTCGAGTACGTGCCGGATGCGAGCCTCGATATGTTTCAGATTGGCCGGCAGCCGTCGCGCTACAACGACTTTAGCGTTCCCGGGCCGCTCTACGGCGCGTCGGGTACGATCTCTCGGTTTGCGGCGCGCCTCGTGTGCGAGCGCGACGCGCCGTATCGGTGCCGCCTCTATGCCGGCGGCTTTGACGCGTCACACACGGCGGCGGTCCCCGCGTCCGCGCTCAAGTACTGTGCTGCCTGCAGCACATGGACCAAAGCACTTAGCTGCTGCCATGTCGTATCGCCGTCATCAATGTTGCCCTCTACCGGGCCCGTGCTCGCGGAGATAAAGTGCGATGGCAGTGTGCCCGTGGACGCGCTCACAAAGAATGGCGTGCGTCTCTGGGTCCCCGAGCAACAAGAGTGGTTTGAAGTGTCGATGAATGGCTTCCTCTACGCCATCCAAGGCGGCGGCGAGAGCTCGTCGTCCACGTCGTTTCATCGGCCAACGGCCGGTCCCGTCCATCTCGAGTCGCTCGTCTCGCACGGCTGCATCATTGACCTCGGCGGCGTCCAATTGCAGTTCCTCACAAAACTCGCGCGCCGCAAACCGTCGTTGGCGCCGCCGCCGTTGCAGCCGTCGCTTCTCGCCCAGCTCGAGTCGCTCCACGTGCAGTGCCCCGTGCAGCTCATGCCGCTGCGCTTCCACTCCAACTGCGCATCGAGCGAGACCGCGCACGTCTTTCCAGCATGCGGACACGTCTTTGGTTACGACGCACGCATCGCGCTCGGGAAGGCGTGCCCCATGTGTCGCACGCCCGGCGGCATGGTGCTCCTCAAGCTCACGTCCGGGAACGGCGCCAAATTGCACCAAGCCGACGAACGCAACTGCGTTCCCGACTGCGTCTTCAACCCATGCGGCCACGCGGTCGGCCTCAAGTGTGCGACGCAGTACGCATCGATTCGCATGCCGAACGGCAAGTCGATCTGCCCCATCTGCGCCGTGGCCCTGGACTCGAACCAGCCCTATTCCAAACTCTTTTGGCATACGGACGACGACGACGACGACGATGCGTATACGGACGTGGCGGCGGCCTGAGACCATAGAACGTTGAATAGGCCGCGTCTGTATACACATATATATCTAACTCTTTGGTTTCTTGTGGCGCGTCTTCTTGGTGTCGCGGCCTTGGGCGGCGACGTTGGGCATGAGCCCGGACGATCGTCGAAGGCCCTTGAGCGTCCGTAGCTTGAGCTCGTCGCGCGTGAGCGGGTGCATGCCGTCGGCGACGCCGTGGTCAACCATTTCGTCTTCGTCCGACGAGTAGTCTTCGAGGTTCGGCGGGTTGATCTGGAGTGGCTCGCCCCCCATCGGCATCGGTGGGCCAATTCCAAGGACCGCGTGGAGCTGATGCGACGACAAGCCGTGTCCTACAGTGCTGCATAAACACTAGACTCCAATCTGGTACACACGCACCCAGGACGGGGTTGTCGAGCAGGTCGAGACTCGCCGATCGGGACTTTTGAAAGTGTGCGTACTGCTGCAGAATCTCGTTGGTGCGCTGCTCGACCATGCCGAGGTACTGCATCATGTTGACGTCTGTGACGATGTTTTCGCCGAGCATTTCGGCCATGGCCTGGGCGTTGCAGCCCACGTGGTTGAAAAGGACTTGGATCGCAATCTTGACCGCGTTGATGTTCTTCTGCGCGTCGTTGTACTTGACTTCGTACTTTTCGGCCGATGCTTCCGTGGCCACGAGCTTGGCTTCGAGGTCTTTGAGGAGCTGCTTGTGCTGGTGGGCATCGTCGCCCGTCTCTTCCGAGTACTTGGCTTCTTCGACCTTGAGCGCCTATGTAATTGTCGGGAGTAAAAATGAAATTTTGTGTGAAAAACCCCGAACCTCGATTTGGTCTTGGAGCTTCTCGATTTCATTGGTTTGCTCGTTGACATAGTTGAAGAGCGAGAAGTTTTGATCTTCGTTCTTGATGAAGGTGTTGACAAGCTCCTCAATGTCGGTGATGCCGGTCGCGGCCTTGATCTTGGTAAACACTTCTTCGTAGTTCTGGACGCGCTCGATGCTCACTTGCACGTGGACCTTTTCTTTTGCGACGCCCCACTGCTGCCGCTGGAGCTTGCGCTTCAACGTGCCGTCGTCGTCGCTCGTGCCAGAGCTCTCCCGACGCGCCACGTCCCGCAACTGCGCTTCGCGGGCCAAGTCGGCGCGCTTCTTGCTCTCTTCCATCTTCTCCAGCAAGTCGGTGATCTGGCGTCGGTGCTCTTCGGCCTCTTGGCGGTTGATTTGCTCGATTGCCTTGACCTCCATCTAAGTGCAACAATCGCCATTGGTCTCGATAAAGATGAAAAATGAGACAAATCATTAGGACCTGGGCCGCGTCGCGCTGCTCGTAGCTCAAGTTGCTGAGCTCGATAATGTTGGCCATTTGCTTCTTGCGCTCGTTGTGGTCCTTCTCGAGCTTGCGGTAAATGTTGTCAAAGATCATGCGTTCCCGGCGCAAATTGTCGATTTCTTCGCGCAGCACCTTGTTTTGTGCCAGCGCTTCGTTGAATTTCACAAGCGATTTGTCGAGGCGGTTCTCCAAAATCCGAATTTGCTTGTGGACCATATGGTGGTTTTCCTTGGCCGCGTTCACGCCGCCCATGTGCTTGCGCTGGTGCAGCACCTTGTGCTTCATGATTGTGATTTGCTGGGTTAGAGTGTCGCAGTGCTTGGCCTCGCCCGCAATCTTCTTGACGTACGCGTCGATCTGGTCTTGCATGCGCGCAATGCTCTCCGACTGCGAATTCGCATTGGCTTCGGTCAAGTGGCGCGTCGCTAGCGCGAGCTCCGACTTCATGTTGTCGTTGTCGTGCTTGAGCTTCTCAATCACGCTTTGCTGCCGCCGCATCACCTGGTGCGACTCGTCCGAGTAGCTCTTTCGGTTCATCTCCATGTTGCGGTACTCGCGCTGGAGCTGCGAGAAGTCCACGCCGCCCTTGGTCGGCTCCATGCTGCCTACCGCTTCGTGGCTGAGAAACGAAAAACCTATGAGCCCGTTTCGCCAGCGTCGTTTCACACCATGCGCCGACGGAACGAGGCGCCACGTATGGAGATCGCGGTCGACACCACTGTGCTCGAGCGCAGTCGAGCAAAGCGAACCAAATTCGCCGACCGCCAAGCCGCAGTGCTTGCCGGCGTCGGCGCAACCGCCATGGAGCTTCGGCGCCGGCTCTTCAACCGCCGCCACTTGAAGTATGGTGGCAAGCCCGGCGACTTGCCGCTCGTGCAGGAAGCCAAGTCGGAGAGCCTCAACATCCGCCTTGCCATCATCGACCAAGAGGCTCGAAGCCGGGCGCTCGACAGCGAATTTCAATCACACACCAAGCTCGAGCAGTCGTTCCGGTCGCCTTCATGAGCTGCGTAGTAAGCCTGTTGCCAACTCTTGTCGTAGACGGCTGCAGGACACGCTGCAGACGAGTGCCACGGACGTCCGGGGCAAGCAAGCCAAGTTGAAGGAGCTCGAGCAGCGCCTGCGTCTCCTCCAGACAACGACCCACGACCCGCTCACACCGGTTGCGACAGTCTCAAGACATGGAGTCTGAAGTCGCGCGTAGATTCAAGCGATCGAGGCGGCGACAAAGGTGGCTTTCGAGCTCAACGAACACAAGGCCGCGTACCTCCCGACGTTCATATGCCGCGTGTGCGCGCGGGTGTGCGCGACGGACGCCCTTCTGCGGCTCCACGAGCCGTACTGCAAAGGTCTCGTGTTCCGCGAAGACGCGTTCGACGTGACAGCCTACAAACGGTGCCATCTCTGCTACCGGTACGTCCTCCCTGCCGCAGTCGACGACCATGCGCAAGCGTGTACGGCTGCAATGGACCGAAAACAGCGCTTGCTACAACGCCCCGAGTACGACGTTGCCGGGTGCGTGCCTGAGCCACCGACGCAGCTGCGCGTTGTGGCGGTGACGAGCCACTCGATCGAGTTGGCGTGGGCCGCCCCAGTCTTTACCGGCGGCCTCGGCGTGTTCGAGTACGAACTTCGCGTCTCCAAGGTCGTGCAGGAAAAGTTTCAGCGGCTGCAGCACCGCCAGCACGAGCACACGCTTGTCGCGCTGCCACCGGTGCAAACGTCGCGCTGGGTCGACCGCGTGCCGTTGGCAGCGTGCTGCATCGTTGTACAAGGTCTCTCGGCCAAGACGACGTACGGCGACATTGCCATCCGCGCCAAGACCGAAAACGGCTTTGGCGGCTACTCGATGCCGATCGACCTTGTCACGACGTTGGGTACCGTCCCCTAGTGTCGTTGCGTTGAAGTGATGCAGCGTGCTAGAGCCCACACCACCAAGCGTGCCGCTCTTCTTCACGCTCGGGCTTGTCACCATGACGTCGATTACGCTGAGCTGGATGAGTCCCATGGACTTGGGCGGCGGCGTCGTCGACGAGTTTGTCATTTTGTACACGACGCTCGTGCAAGTGCACGTTGACGGCGCCGACGCTTTGGACATGTCGCAGAGCGAAGAGCGCGAGTTCACGCTCAAGTACGCCCTGCCAATGGTCGAGTGGAGTCCACACGAGGCGTATGCCACCAACAATATGCTCTACAGCTATACGATCGAGGCGCTGCAGCCCGGAAAACTCTATTCCAATCTTCGCGTGTACGCTGTGACGTCGGACGGTCTCTGCAGCCCCGAGACGTTGGCTCTGGAGCCTGTCCGCACGCTCGGTAGACACTTATATGCGGTTGGTCTCAACGCTTCTTTGTGTCCACATAGTCGCGGGTAAGGAGTTCAAGCTCATCGCCGAGCTCCAAGAGGCCATCAACAGCCGCGCAACGTACATCGACTCGTCGTTCTACAATGGGTTTCCGCAGCGCTACGAGCGGCTCTACTACTTGCGCTTGCTGGCCAAGACGATCAAGGCGCACCACCCCGCGCTCGCCGACCGCGTCGATGCCATGCTTCCGCTCGACGGTGACTCCGACTCGGATTCGGACTCGGAAGCGGATGAGGACACGCCGCCGTCGACGCCAGCGATGCCAGTCGTCGAGGAAGAGCGACCCAAGACAGCCGCCGAGATGGTCGCCGACGCCGCGGCCAAGCGCTTGGAGACACAAAAGACCCGACGCAAGCAATTCCAGTACCGACTGCACCAGCTGCGGCACCACTTGGACGTGCTGGCACACAACATTGACTGGGCCGACGACCGCACGACGGTCTTGCTCTCGCTCATTGCGGCCGCCGAGCAGCGCATTCTCGATAAGCAAGCCGAACTCGAGCGCGCCAAAGCATTTCGAGGCCCCTCGATGGACTCAATTGTCATGCACGGTACAAGCCTTTTCTTTTGTTTTTTTCAAAATGTACAACTCGTCGTATGCCAGGTGGACTGCAACATTTCAAAACCAAGGAGCTCGTGCAAGCCCTCGAAGAAGAGCTCGACATTGAGCACTTTTACATTAGCGACACGAAAGAGGAGCTCCGTCACATCGAAGACCAGAAGAACGCCGACATCCGCAGCTTGGCGAGTAAGCAAGCGCAACTTTCGGCGCGGCAAGTGGCCCTCGAAAAGTTTGAGACGGACTGTGAACTCGACGCGTTCGTCGCCGAGCGTGGGGCCAAAGTCCTCTTACGCTTGCAATCACAGTCGCTCGCCTACGTCTTTGACAACTGGACGCGCTTCGTCACGCAGCGCAAAGCATCCCGTGCCGTGGTTGCCAAGGTTGTAGCACGACTCGAACAGAGCCTTCTCCGTCCCGCATGGCGGTACAACATACTTACCTTGATTTCTTGTCGACTTATTCGTTGTATGTAGATCGTGGATCGTGTTTTGGGAGTTTGAAGCGAACAAGCAAGTCGCCCCCGATGGTGTCGTCAGCCTCGGTGGTCTCGGCTTGAAGGCGGTCCATGTCAACCGCGTGCTCATGCAGCAAGACTGCTATGCAGCGCTGCATGCGTGTCGGGACGTGGCATCGAATCTCGTCGACGCGGGTCGCACCAACGACGAGCGCGCTGCCAAGGCCCGCAATGTCTTTGAGAAGGAGCGCAAAAAGCTCGCCCAAGCCGCCAGCATACCGCAGGTATATATGTGCACGTCGATCTCCGTGCCGACTGTAAGATCTAGTCGATATCGACCTTGTGGACTCAAGGGGCGACGCAACTCGACATTGGCGATTACGAACCCGCTCTCTTCACGTACGAGAAGCTCGTTGATGCCCTCCCCAACGATGCCGATCGATTCAACCAAGTACGTGTGTGGACGCTTTTGTTGGGCAAATGGTCATAGTGTCTTGTCGATAAATGATAGACACAATTGGCCAACGCACTCAATCACATTGGCCGGGTGGCCTTTCTACTCAAGCGGTACGAGAAGGCCATGATTGCGTTCGAGCGCGCGGTGGGAATTTGCGACCGCATTGGCGACCCGAAGGAAACTGCGTTCGCCATGCGAGGACTTGCCGACTGCCACCTCGTGTCGCGCGGCTTCAAGCCCGCGCTCCAGCTTTACATGAAAGCATGCAGCGCCGCCGAAGACGTGAGTGATGTGCCGACGCAAATCGCGGCGCACCATGGCATTGCGGCCTGCTACCGGGCGTGGGACGACACGCTTCTGGCCAACGAAGCCGCGACAAAGGCCCGGGCGCTAGAGCGCTGCATCGACGACAAGGTCGACCACATCGAGCACGCCCTCGACGCACTCAAGGCCAAGCTCATCACGGTACAACATTGTCGTATAACGATACCGATATATGAGCAATATAACGATAACTAGGTCAGTGCCAAGGTCGCCGCGACGTTCCAGCTCGAGCGGGTGGGGGCCATCGTACCCAAGTTGCGAGCGGAGCGGCTCCAGTGCAAAATCACCATTCTCGAAGAAGAAAAAGTTCTTAGCGCGCTCACGTCGCTCGTCGAGTCGAAAGCGGCGCTTCTGGCGCAAGGACGCGACGACCTCAAGCGCAGCGAAGTGAGCGACGCTGAGTACGTCGACTCGTCCGTCTTTCTGGGCGTCTCGACGCGGTATGCGATCAAGGACTTTACGGAGAAATTACGCATTTTCATGGACCGTCTCCGGGTGGCCAAAGCCGCCATCGAAAACGAGCAAACAAACGCGTCGACGCGCATCACGAACGAGCGCGAGCGCATCCAAGAGGTTCGTTTCTTTCGATTGTGAAGGTTTATGTACAATATTGTCGACTAGTGCGAGGACGAACTCGTCATTGAGACGGGCGATCTCATGCGCCGCGTGCGCGGCAAAGACGTCTTTCGCTGCTTTCGTTTCAACGCGGTCAATGCCATCTTCAAGGACGTGCTGGGTCATGCCAGTGGTGGCGTCTCGACGTGCGTGGCCAGCGTCGGCCCGACGCTCTTTGTGTACGACCTGCACACTGGTGTACGTACCCATTGCTATATATATTTAGTATTATTGTACCGTGGGGTAGGTGTGTATGGGGCAAGGGGTCGGGGATGCGAATACCGACCCGAACGCGCCAGTGCATCTCGGTGGCATTGAAGGCCACCTCAAGATGATCATGTGCGTCTACGCACTCAACGATTACGTGTACACGGGCAGCATGGACTGCTCGCTCATCGTGTGGAAGCTCATCGACGGCATGCGCCCGTCCTTTGTCCACCGCTTTGACGAGTTTGATGCCGCGGTGATGTCGGTCACCGCGACGCTGCAGTTTATTTGCGCGGGCACGGCCGACTGCACACTCTATGTACCTGAACATGCGTACAACATTGTCTATATATTGACATGGCGGTGTGTAGGTCTATGACGCCACGTCGTTTGCTCGCATCGCTGTCGTGCCGTCGGCCCACTACCGCACCATCACGTTCTTGGTCATGGACGCGACCTTGCTCGCCTCGGGCGGCGCCGACAACGAAATCCGACTCTGGCATTTTTCGCTCAAAACGGCGGCCGAGAAGCGCTACACCAAGCTGGCACGCCTTCGGCCCGAACGCGACGGCCACGAATGGTACATATCATCGTGACAGATCATCACGCATTTGGTACTATCGCTGTGGGTAGGGTCCGCGGGCACGTCGACCCGGTGTCGTGTGTGCAGATTGCCGACAACGAGATTGTAAGCGGCGACCGCGGTGGCCGCATCGTGCTCTGGGACTCAGTCAAAGGCAGCATTCGCCGTGAGATTCGAAAAGCACATGAAGCAGCGATCACGTGCCTTGCGTTCGACACGCTGCGCGTCATCAGCGGCGACGCGTCGGGAAAGATCTCGATCAGTGACGTCATCAGTGGCCTCGTGCTGCAGACGCTGCTCGGACACACGGCGCGTGTTCTCGATGTCCAAGTCGACCGGACCATGCTCCTGAGCTGCTCGGAAGACGGCAGCCTGCGGCAATGGACGTTTCAGTCGCGTGATGGCAGCGCGTCACGCGGCCACCGGTATCACATTCTGGGCGCGGGCGAGACGCTGCGGTCGCTCTCGCTGCAGTACCACACCAGTGTCAACGATCTGCGGCGCTGGAACAACATTGTGGACGTGACAAAAATGTACCTTGGCCAACAGCTTCTCGTGCAGACGACGGTCGTTGAAACCAAAGTCGTCGAGCCCGTCTCGGTCGTCTTTGGCAAGCTCGCGCTGGAAGAAACGAGCTTCTTGCTGAGCAACCGCAACGGCAAAGCATCCCTCGACGACCGGATTCGGGAAACCACCGACCGCTTCGAGCGCGTGCTGAAGACGGGGGATGCGAGCAACCCAGTTGCTGAGGAGAGCGACGACGATGTCAAGTCTGCAGACAACGGCGACGGCGACGATGATGATGATGACGACGACGATGATAATGGCAGTGAGGGCCAAGTCGATGATGACGTCGATGGCGGCGACGCACCAGAAGACAGCGAGCCTGGCGACGAAGCATAACGATCGTCGGGTCCACCTTGGCGCTAGAATAGTGTCCTAAACCATGACGACCAGCTGTTTACACATCTGATGTTTGATCTGATGAGTCTTTCATATCGTGGCGAGAGCCGCCCATTTCTGGCGTTCAAGATGGTCAACGCGACTGAGACTGGCTCATTGAAGCCGAGTGGCGTGCCTTGACCAAGACGAATACGAATATGCTGCGATGCGAAAGATAACACGCAACTTAGATCTTGCTTTTGATTGGTTCGTTCCAAAAACCTTCGTTGAGCACATGGGGACACTTGTGGGGACGGGAGACGTTCGGAATCCCAACTGGGTTGTAGGAATACCATGTTGAACAACTTACAACACAGTATCCCGCAGTAAAGCGTTTACTCGTACTAATCTTTCGCCTTTTACTAAAGATTACCGTGGACGTCTTACAAACAATGCGGCTTCACCAATTTCTGACCTCCCTCTGGGAGGACCCACTTCATATTCTTGTTACTCGTATATCCTTTACTCTTTACTGCCATTTTCATGGATGCATTGCCACATAACTACATTACTAGCCCACGAAAAGATTTAGTCTAGCCGCTATTAAGAGTTGAGTCCTCCAATTGAATTTGTTCTGCCTTGATTTTGGCTGCTGTAGCACCTACGATGCGGCTATTTTTACTCGCCCTTCGCAATGGCGTCCAAGGCCCGGCAGCCAAAGCCGCCCACGACCAAGGCCACGCCAAGTGCCAACAAGTTTAACTCGAACATGGGTCGCAACACGAAGCTCCCAGCGATCGATGCGAGTGCAGTTAGCTCTACAAGTACGCCTTCCATCGACGCCATCGATACCGTCGTTGCACCAGAGAGGTTACCGCCCCTCGACGCACCACGCAGTGTCTCTATACTTGTTGAGACGGCCGTGGACGTGGCTACTCTTGCCTTGGAAACTGGGCCAGACAATATCACGGCCCTCGCGCAAAGCCGGGTCGTCGAAACGGGCGATGTGATTTTGGTCTACGAGCTGTACAGTGAGCCCTTTCCGATCGTGGACGGGGCCATTGCCACGAGCGCCATTGACGACGCGTACGCGCTTTCGTTTGTGATGCCGGGTTGCCACATCCACCTCTCCGTGTTTGCGCCTGCGGAGAAACGAGAACGCGATACCCAAGGCGCCGCCGTGTACTTGCCCGAGACGGCCCCCGGCAAGATCGGCGCCCTCTCGGCCAACGCAACGTACTATGTCTACGTGACCGAAGACGCAGCGACGCTCCACGTGGCCGCATCATCAACCACAGCGCAACGCGCGTCCATCCACGATCTGGCGAAGGGCGACGGGCGCGGCTTTGATTCGTGTACGTGCAGTGAGGGCACGCCATGCGTCGACGAAGGCGGCTGCCGCAACTGGCGTAGCCGCTATGCGATCGCGACGGAAAATGGGTGGAAGGGATTTGGCTTGGAAGGGAGCTTGGAGTAGTAAAATTAACTGAATTATGGTTCTAATAACACTATCTATTCCTGCGCTACGCAAGGGCTGGGCACAGAATACGGCACAAGCCGGTGTGCATGCGCTGCAGTCGGGATGGACGACCGGGCTTTGCCGAGTGAGGAGCGGGCACGTAGACCGAGTGCACCGAGTAGAGGTCTCGTGTCGGACACGTCGCTTCGGCAATGGCCTCGTGCCAGTTGAGCAGCGAGGCCTCGAGGTGGGCGACCACATCGACATGGCCAAAGTCAGCCGCGTACGCAAGCGCCTTGCGTAGCGTGCGCGGTGAGACGCGCGGCGCGAGCTCCTCGACGATCTCCAAGTGGCCGGCCGCCGCACCGTAGACAATGCTGTCGCAGACGCCGTCATAGTGCAAAATAGCTGTGCGACGACCGAGCATGTACTGCAGCATGGCGACGTTGCCTTCGGCTGCAGCCGCTTTGACCAAGCTTGTCGTGTGGCAGGGCACGTTGTAGCGCTCGACAAGGATCTGCAGCACGTCGAGCCGGTCGGCGTCAATCGCACGCTCGACGTCGGCCACGGACGGTACGACCTCGGGCTTCTCGAGCAGCATGTGCTCGTGGCCCGCGGCCAGCATCTCAAAAGCGTTGTCCCAGTCGCGAAAGGCCTTGCCGGGAAGAAAGGTCGCAATCGAGAGGAGGAGCTCAGGAGTGCCAAGCACGAACTGCGCGTTGCTGTGCACCATAGATGCTGTTGCCGACTGAGGCCTTGCAGAGAGCGCTACAACACGAGACGGTCGCCTTTTCCTCTGCCACGTCGATGACGTGGCTGCACGGTCTCGCGATACGAAGCAGACGGTCGAATGGTTCATCGAATCACACGTCGATTGCTTAATTGAAACCCAGGCATGAGCAGCCATGAGACCTTTGAATCAAACGTCTCATGTCTGGATCCATGTATTGTGGCCAAGTGCAATCAAAAGTGCAATATGGATTCCTCCAGCATGGTCAGCATTCGAGATCTAACTCATTCGTATACATACCGTACTAGTGCAGAGAGCGATAGCGTATTACATGCTGGTTTAGAAATGCCACGAATAGGCTTCCATGTATCGGTCATAGCTATCTGCTATCGGTCATAGCACGGATAGTATCGTGCCGCATAAGCTGCACAACATTTGAATGTGCAAATCAGAAATCAGATCTGTGTGGTATCCGGATATCAGGTAGCTTCAGAGGTACCGCATTGGGTCGTTCAAAGCTTCCGGACGGGATGCAACCAGCCGTAGCTTCCGTCTTGCTTACTACCAAGTCGCAGTCGCCAGAGACCCTGTAACAAGCAGCTTGTGAGCGCGCCAACAGTGCAGAATTACACCACTGGCTTCATGCGAACAGCGTTCGATGCCCAAGGATCCAGCGCTGCACGGAACGAATTCGAAGTTCGAAGCATAATACGGCACGTGATTGGTGGCAACTCGAAGCAATTAGCTGCACACACTCGGAAAGGGCATGGCGAGCGTCCTCGCGTCGACATGCGCCCAGCGGACGGCGCTCTTCGCCAAGTCGCTTGACGCGCTCCCTTCGTACAGCGTCTGCTCGATCGTCAAGAAGCTTGGTGACAACAAGTTTGACTCGAAAGCGCTCCAGAGCAACGACTGCAAGAAGCCGGCGTGCGTGAACGTGCTCGAGTCGTTCAAGACGACGTTTGTCGGCTGCATGCTCACCGACATTGCCGACGTGGCGTCCGTCGACATGGCGCGCCTGGCGAGCTACTGCGCCAGTATTGACGCATCCTATGCGCCAGGCGCGGCGTCGCCCCAGCCGCTTCCAGCCGCGCCGCCGCAGGACGCGGCCGTCGACAGTCCCGTGCGCGGCGGCCTCAGTACACCGATCATCATTGCCATCACGTGCGTCGTCATTGCTGCGATCGTCGTCGCCGGCTACGTCTATTTACGCCTGAAGCGCGGCGCGGCCTCGGCGACCTTGTACACGTCGCCACCGCCGATGCAGACGAGCAACGATCCGTATGCGTCCGTCATGAAGCATGGAAACGCCGGGTCCCAGTCCAACACGCGCACGAGCGAGAGCAGTGCGTCGAATCTTGGCGCCGATGCCTCCACGTTAGACTTGTGCGACCTCGATTTGTATCGCATCTCGCCGCGGGACGTGACGTTGGACAAGTCGCTCGCGCAAGGAGCGTACGGTGAAGTGTGGCTCGGCACGCTCGATGGACACACGGTGGCGGTCAAGAAGCTTTTGAACCACCGGCGAACCCGGGACGAGCTGCAAAAGTTCATATACGAGATCGCGCTCGTTGCCAAGTACGTAGTCCTTTCGAACTGTATCCACGTCTTGCTGACCATATACGGTACACATAGGATGGAGTCGCGCTACGTCGTCCAGTTTATCGGCGTCGCGTGGACGCGCCCGAGCGATATGATGCTCGTGACCGAATACATGGACGCTGGGGACCTCCGCAACCTCCTCCAAGTGACGGCGTCGACCAAGTCGTTTACATGGACCAAGAAGGTCCACGTCGCCCACCAGATCGCGGAAGGGCTTGTGTATTTGCACATGCTCGAGCCAAAAGTCATCCACCGCGATCTGAAATCGCGCAACGTCCTCCTCAACGCCAAGATGGATGCGAAGCTGACCGACTTTGGCGTCTCGCGCGAGACGGACGACGCGACCATGACTGCTGGCATTGGCACGTACCGCTGGATGGCGCCCGAGGTGCTCCAAGACGGCCACTACACCGAGTCGGCGGACGTGTTTTCGTTTGGAGTGATCCTCGCCGAGCTCAGCAACGAGATCGTGCCGTACTCGGACTTGCGAAATGCGAACGGCAACCCGTACACGGACACGGCGATCATGGCCAAGGTCATGGTGGGCGAGCTCCAACCCACGTTTGCCCCCGACTGCCCTCCTTGGTTTCGCGACTTGGGACTGCAGTGCATGAGCCGCCACCACGCTGATCGGCCGACCGCCATGGAAGCCTCGTTCAAAATACAGACCGAACTCCGGCTACTCAAGGCGTCCTCATAGTGTTGATGCGTAATACAATGGCGTTTGGTGTTTATGTCTGTTCGCATCAGTGATGTCATTTCACGGGTGAGATCATTCTGTGAGGACCAGTAAACAGGCCAACCCATCGGACGGAATGCACTCATGGCCGTCATTAGTCAGCGACCGAGCGGTGGAGGCGGTTAAGGCTCCAACGTGCTCAATCTCAATCGGTACAGCGATGCACCAGTACATACCAACACGTCTCTCAAGCGCGAGACGTCGCACCTCGACCTGTGAAGATTAAACGCCGCGTTCAGAACCACCGCGCACACAATTCGACTCTACGCCAAGGCGCTTCGACTTCGACGCGCAAGAATCGTCGGGCTTCTCTCCGTCTCGACTACGTGCACAATAATCCACTCAATGAATAGGTTTGCACACTGATTGGGTCTGTTGTAAACGTCGGTTAAATCGGTGGGTAAACTCGCTACTAGTTAGTACATCACTGTGCGTCGATGGTGGTTTAACTCTGATTTTTGCCACATTGACCCAACGCCACTCTCATCCAATAACGGTATCACACTAGGATGTACGTTCACCGCACAGCCAACTCTGTCGTCCATTCGGCCCTGCATTCGGCCTGAGCAGCTGCGACGTGATCGCGACCGCACGCAGTGTACATGCATCCACCACAGCTATATCCACCACGACCCCACGACCGCTGGAACTCAGATGCGAAAGGCAGGTGTAAACCTGCATTCCGGACTGACAGACATGCATTCTGTGTGCCTGTCTCGGGAAGTGAGTGACGTCATTTACCGATTGAAGATGTGGACATCGTTTGGCGTTGCCGTCGTCGAGCTCGTGCTCAGCTACCTCCAGCTCATGCCGTCGGGCACGCCGGATTGGGTCTTGCTTGCCGCCCAGTCGTCGCTCCGGTCGCCTGCCGCCCCTACTGTCGCCAGCACCGGAGGCGCCTTGCCCCAAAATACTGCTGTTGGCAGCGGACCCTTCCACTGGACCTTGTGCCCCGACCACGCTGACGACGCCCGGTACCAGTGCGGCTACCTGACTGTGCCGCTCGACCACTTGGATCCGACCAACAATGCGACCCTCGACATTGCCGTTCAAAAGTACATTTCGAACGCGACGGTGCCATTGGGGACGATCCTCCTCAACCCCGGCGGTCCCGGCGGTCCTGGCACAAGTATGGCAACGCCTGCCACCGCCATTATGACGGGCGGTCAGTACGACGTCCTCGGCTTTGACCCGCGCGGTATTGGCAAGTCGCGCCCGATTCAATGCTCCAAGAACCGCTTCACGGCAGCCATCGAAGGTGCAGTACTCGACACCGTTGACCTGGACGGCACCTCTGAGTCTGCGATCGACGCCTACGTCTCCAACTATGCACTGCCGATTGCACGTTGCCAGCTCTACGACGGCGACTACCTCCCGTACCTCTCGACGGCGTTTGTCGCTCGGGACATGGACCTTATCCGCGCTGCGCTCGGCCAAGACCTCATGCATTACTACGGCATTTCGTATGGCACGTACGTACCCAACGTCGGCTTGCGGCTTGGCGATGCTCATCGGTTCCTAGGTTCCTTGGGGCGACGTACGTCAGCATGTTTCCCGACCGCGTCGGCCGCGTCGTGATCGACTCGGTCTTGGACCCGGAAGTGTACACTGGTCCCGTCACAAATCTGCTGTTGCGTTCGTATAAGGACAATGACGCATGCTTTACGGCGTTCACCGAACAGTGCGAGGCCGCGGGCCCCCTGCATTGCCCGCTCGCGGACGCCAACGCGACGCGCCCGTACCTAATGAAGCGCCTCCAGGCCTTTCTGACAGCAGTTGAGACCAAGCCGCTGCTTGTCAAGGGCGGCGACGACCTTGTGCGCGTGACAGCGACGGAGATTCGTCAAACCATCTTTGGCTCTATGTACACTCCGCATGATGCGTGGCCGCCGCTGGCGGCGACCCTCCACGCGATGCTCAATGGAACATACGAGGCTCCCAGCACCAACTCGAGCTGCGCGACTTTGGACGCAGACCGCGATGTTCACATGGCCTCGATCGCGTACATTGGCAATGACGGTGCGTCGTCCAAGGGCCTCAACTTGTCTGCGGCCGTCCAGGCAGCGCAGAAGCTCGCACCACTCTCGGGCCTCGTGGGCTTTGTCAACTTGGTGGCTGCGAAAGCATGGACGACCCGCCCCGTCGAGCGCTTCACGGGGCCATGGACGCACACGTTGGCCAACAAGGTGCTGGTCTTGACCAACCAAGTGGATCCCGCAACGCCGATGGTGGGCGCGCAAAACGTCCACCGGCTCTTGGGGACCGACAACGCGGTGCTCGTGACACGCGAGGGGTATGGCCACGGCGCGCTCTTCAGTCAGCCTAGCACCTGCGTCCACAAGCTCGTCGCGGCGTACTACTCGAACGGGACGCTGCCGTCGACGACGTTTTGCAAGATTGACGCGACGCCGTTCGGCCCATCGTCCCCTCTTTCGGATGCAATGCAAGCCATGATGACGCTGTCGACGAGCATCACCAAGCCGACGCGGATGTACTAACTCGCATAAAGCGTACGCACCATTGCGCGCTGGACGCGATATGTCGAATAATATCAAGTTGATACAATGGACATGGGATGCGGGATTTGCTTATTGACTTGTGGAAATGGAGCGGCGCGCAGAGGAAACTTAGAGTAAAAGGTGCTACACTTGTTGAGCTCGAGCGAGTTGATCTGGTAGCGCTAGTACGTGTCGCCAAATGGCTACTCGGTCGTTTGGACGCTGACGACATCGAGAACACAACGTACTTTTGCGGCCACAGCTCAGAGCGCATCAAAATTTGTTGCACAGTGGGCTCTTCCTCGTCGTTGCGTGGTTTCAGACACTGCAGTTGCCCAGTTTCAAGACGTGTGCGATTGCGTCGATTTTGTCTGGTGCGGGCGCGACGACGTGCCCAGAGCTCGTGATCAGTAACTATAGAGTGTTTACCCGCTCTGCGCATCTAACGTGATTCCATCTGGTATTTGGTTATCAGAAATAACGCGGCCAGACTCACGGAAGACGGGATGTCTGGCCGTGCTTGGAGGCCGTGACCAAGCTCACAATTTCAGTGACGTCGACAATACTTTGCTGAGCGCCGAGATGCACCGCGAGTCGTTGGGTGGACTCACCACTACGCCGTTATGCTGAGCAGGGAGGGGGTTAGAAAGCGTCGCCACGTTCTTGAACACTGTTTTGATTGGCTCCAAAGCGAAATGACGTGCATTCCGCACCTACAATCTGCCGCGTCAACGCCCGCCTTGTAGGTGATAGCAGTCAGTAGGCAATTCCATTCGTCATGGTCGCGCTGTCATCTCTCGCCGTCGCATGGACACAGCTTCTGAGCAACTACGCGCAGCTCTTGCCGTCAAGCGCCGCCGACTGGGCGCTCTTGGCCTACAACGTC